AGAAAAACATTGATATTTTATTCCTGTCCCTCAACAAACCCTTAACTAAATATTTATTTTTAGTAGCATATATTTGTTTGTACCAGGCATAGCATATGTGGAGGAATGAGCTTTATAATTTATCAAAATATAGGTGAAATCAGTTAAGGAAACAATCCATAATTTCTGCAAATTTCTTAAATATCTAGAAAAATGTTAATGGTAAGTGAAGGAACTCTGATATTAGTTCTAAGGGAAAAGGAAATGAACTGCCCTTTCTAAAAACAGTATTCATTAGGGTTACAAGCATGTTCAAAGCAAATCTAAGGCAATTCAATATTTAAATTTGTCCTGCTAATTCTTTCCCAAAAGTAGTCTCACTGCTTACTGATAAAAACAGTRTGTGCCATGTATTTGCCACTGAACAAAATGATTAAATGGAGAGTATCAAAGTGAGGGATTCATTTTTCTAATACCTACAGAAATACATTTGGAACAAATACAGAAAGCTGAATAGGTCAAATTTTCAGCTGGTGTAATCTGTATAACTCTGGTTTTAGCTGGCTTTTCTGAAGAAACATGACTTATGCATGTCTGTGAGTGGATAGKGACTGGCCCCTGCTAATACCGTCTAAATTCATTTTCCTGTCCAGTGATACAGATGTTGGCTGTCTCAGAAGGAGAAAATCAAGTTCCTGTAAGGTCTGTGAAACTCTGTGGCTGAATACAGGACAAAAAACACCTTTGTGCTTCCAGACATCTTCTAGACATCTTTTTTCTCTARATGCAAGAACCCACTGGCTGCAAGCCTAGCGCCTTATAGATCTGCAGCATGCATGTTTTGCAGTTCATCCTCGAAAACGCAGGGAGCCTGCTTTATTTTGCATGCACAGAGAGCTCTATGGCATGCATGCTGTGAAGCCACACTGAGAAACTAAAGGGTTGCCCAGGTATTTAAACCAGTTTTCTTGGCAGTACTAAATGTAGATGAGAAATACATGTGACAACATGAAGGCTATAACTAAAAATACACAATTTTTATAATTAAAAATACACAAGTAGAAATTCCCTGAGACGGCAACAGTGTTAGAAAATGCCTCAGCCTCTAAGATTAGGAAGTCCTTGACTGCACTTAAATGACCCTAAACACTCTGTAAACCTCTGTAACCATTCTTGTTTCCTTAGTCTTCTAGACAGAGCCATCTCCTGGCTAAAGGGTGTAATACAGCATTGGGCCTCAGCACTGCAAGGAGTTGCTTAGACTGAAAGAAATGTCACTTAACAAAATCGAGTATTTTGGACCAGTAGCTCAGCAAACCCACACCAGCATATCTGACTATCTGAACTTGTACTTTTYTAAACATATCAGTGGATGCAGTGAAGGATGCACTGAAATAGTGACTTTTATATGAATATATGAAATAGTGAAATATATGAAATATTAATATATGAAATAGTGCACTTTTATATGAAATAATGCACTTTTGTCCTTGCCAAGTTAGTGTGTCCTTACTTGAAAAGTTAAATTATTTGCTGGAGCATTTTGAAAATAATGAAGAAACTGTATTTGTTATTATTTGCATTGCAGTAGTTGTCAAAGGAGGATTGAGAAGTTGAGGAACTGTAGCTCTTCTGCAGCAGAACTTTCAGTCTTGTCGTGGGAACCCCCTTGTCCAACTGCTCTAAGCTCTCAGGCAGCGTCTGTGCATGCACAGGAATTTACATTTGGCTCCTGTTCTCTCTGTACTTTCTTAATATTCTCATTCCCAGGTTTAAAAATAGTGCCCTATGTGTAAACACATAATAAGCACTCTATATCTGGTAACAGTAWGGTCTAAAATTTGACCTTGGAACTTTCCCCTAGTGAGTATTCCTAGAACAGATTACAAACTCCGCCAGACTATTTCTTACCATACCTTATGCACATTCTATATTAGATTCTCAGATCTGGCATGTCTTTTTCAAAAATTCTGGGTCTGTCTTTCTAGTGTTTTTATATCACAAATATAAACTTAAATAGACAGATATAATCTTATTTAAATCCAAGCATACATAGGGCTCAGTCTTGCTCTGTGCCACTGCTGGCAACTGAAAAATTAGGCCACCAGTCTCAGAGAAGAAGATGAATTTCCCCTGAAATAGAAACTACTTTATATTTCCATTCCTTATCTATTCCCTTTAAATTGCCTCAAAAAAATGCAATAACTTGTCCATACTGTATTATTTTCTAATTTCATTGTGTGCGCATTATAGTTCCAGAAGAGTCTTAATTCCATTTAATTTATGAATTTTAATATTTAAGCATTGTTTTTATCCATCTTTTTCTCCATTTCCTTCATACTGTACAAATAACAAAACTAGTTCCCTTTGGTGCACTGTGTCTGGCTGTATGGTCTCTCCTTCTAGGAGCCATAACATTTCTCTTTAAAAATGTTTCATAGAATCATAGAATGCCCAAGGTTGGAAGGGATCTCAGAGGTCATCGAGTCCAACCCCTGTGCACACGCAGGGTCACCTAGAGCACGTGGCACAGGGCTGCATCCAAGCGGGTATTTATTTTAAAGTATTTTTATATTTAAAAATGTGCGCACACACACACACATATGCATATACTAGGGGAAGTGGCAGATGCTGTTACTTGAAGCAGCAAGGAAATTGTTAAATAAACACAATTCAATGAAAGATTCATGACTATATCATTATTTTCTCCCTCCTAATGGAGAAAACCTGTAAAATTCCTACTTACTATCTAACTATATAACCATCTAGTATAATTTTCAGMCACCTCCATTTCAGGCTGGGTTTGTGCTAGTGATTTTTACGTGAAAGACTTTCTAGTCTGTTATCAATCTTCTAAGCCATCTTTTTTGCAGATTTTTTTTTTTATTTGATAAGGAAAAAATGGCACTAACTTCAATCAAGAGCAGAATATTTTTCAGGATGCTATATCCCTGGCTTTTTTAGACAACAACGGAGAGTAATTTCTAATGTAAATTGTGGTATTGCTCCCACAGGACAGGTTGAGAGTATTCCAATTCCAAGAAGAAATTCAGTTTAAACTTGTAACGAAAAAGTTTTAAAAAAACAGCTCTTGTTTCTTTATTTTATGAACTGTATCTGTGGGAAATACTCTGCTTGTTATTTAAACAAACAAACAGACAAAAGCACTGTATAGGGATATATTTACATCCAGAATGATCTTTTGTTTGCAAAAACAACTGAAGTTTTAATAGGCAATTGCAAGCAATGATTAGTCTGTTTTATGGAGAATCAAACTCATACTTTCTTGCAAGAATAGCTAATCCTTTGCAAGATCCCTTCACTAAATTTCCCCTCATTCTTCCTCAGAGGATGGAGTTCATCTTTTTTAACAGCGCAGCCCAGAGAGATGTTCCTAACATACTCATAGATAACCTATAGCTATTGCTATTGCATGCTGTGTCAGAGCAATCCTTCAGCAGGGTGCTGCTTTTCCTTCTGGCATCTCTAAAAAAAAAAAGTTGGGATTGAAAGAACTGTAAATTTTAGAGAAGGCCATGTGACTTAGCTCCTTACTTCTTCTCTCCTTACTACATCACTTCCTCATGTGAGATTCTTGTTTTCCTTGGAAAACTGTTTTGACGTTGCAAAAAAAACCTCTATGTATATTCTATTAATTTTCTATAGCTGCATGGAACAGAACCAAGACGATTAATTCTGTCACTAGTGAAAGTGGTGCTGTTCTGCCTTTAATGTAATAAAGAATTACCAAAACACATAGGAAGAAAGATATAGCAGGTGTTGCAGATTACCCAGTCAGACTACTATGTATTTAGTATAAATGAGTGAATGAGTTATGTGTGGAAAAGTCTGTAACATATATAATACACAAGTATGAAAAGCATACTAACAGATTATTTTCTTTAGTAATATTTCCATACTATCCATTCCATACCTGCAGTGTTCACTGGAAAACATATATTAGCTGTATTGTCCCTTACATACTGCATTGTACCGTGCATGTGCCTATATATATTGGTGCATTGGGAGGTAAAGGCACCCAATGTAAGCTTACACAACTCTATTTTAGTAGAAATAGGTGCTAACTTATCCAGATTCATCTACAGTTACTTCTTCCCTTCTTCTTTCCCTACCGCTAAATAATAATTAAAAAAAAAGAGGTTTGAGAACCAAATTCTCCCTTAGGACTTGTCTAATCTAATTTAGTATAACTTGCTGAAGGTCCTATTTGAGCCACCTCAGCAGGCAAAGATTCATATCTGCTTTTGAAAGTCTATTCTTACTTCCAGTAACTTTCTGCCAAAACCAAGCATTCTCCCATTTGCTGCAGCTGTTTTTACTTCACGGTGATATTTAAAGTGAAATAGGGATACTGTCAGAAAAACAACATATATACCTAATACCAGCCACTGAGAAGTGTATTTCATGAATTCTTGGAAAGAGATAAAAATAATATTTCAAGAACATAACCTACCCTGTATTACGTTTTAAAATTTGATTTATGAGTCTGAATTTCAATGTGCTTACACTTCAGCTGAAGTGAGATATGTGTTTTTTCAGTGGACGGATTTTTTCCCCCTCAGTGTTCATCATAATGCAGCAAATATCACAAAATAGTGTAGAAGATTATAAATTCATGGTGCTATATCATCATACTTGTATGGTTTATTATTTCAATTGTATTGAATTGAGAGGCTTTTTTTTTTATATGCTGCATTATTTATACCATACCTTCAACTTTTAGTTAACTTCAAGGAAATTTTTTCCCATTAATATGAAAGAAGAAAACATTAATTATTAAAGCTTGTCTTTAAACAACTACTATCTGTATGAGGTATCGTGGAAAAATGTTGTCTATTAATTAAAAAATATTCAAAGCTCTATTATAAATGAGAATGTGCAACTTTCAGTAGTAGTGTCAACATTTTGATATTAACTCAGTTAAAATTAAAATAGTGGTCATGATATGCCTTATTTAGGAAACTTCAGCAGTGATTGGAGCAGTCATCGTCCTTTCTTACCTTGAGACAACCAGTGGGAGAATCAACATTTTCAGCATCCTCATCAGTAATTCACCAGGAAACTGGAAATAACTGATTTCCTACAAAAACAGGGAGAGATATTCATTGTTTTAAGATAAAAAATATCTCTCTTCATAAGTTATATAACAGCTGTAGGTCAAGTGATAAAATCAGATAATATTTGTGAAATCTACAACTCTGGTATACAAGCTGGCAAAGGTGGAAGCTTTAAAATTAATAGATCATAGTGTGTTATAATTCAACAAAAACAAACTGTATTGTTCATCCCTCTGCAAAGGTAGTAAAAAATGAAATATGATGTGTCTTGAGGGCTACTGTTAGGAGGTTCCTCTGTTAATCCCCTCATTCTGCATTTTGCATGTTTTGCTAGATGTGTATGAAGCTACACTTTGCATACCCAAAAAAAGCCAACAGTCTGAGGTTAGTGGCAGTAGAACACAGAATAGTTCTAGTTATTGCACTTACTTAGTGCCATATTTTTTTTTGAGAATTATACTTCCTGCTGAGAAAATGCATTCAGCAATGCACGTTGCCATGTCTGTCCAGTCTGTTAGACTAATAGAGCAGTCAGAAATGAGTTCTCTGCAAAGAGATTAGCTGAAGTATGGTGGAGGAGAAATCCCCAAGCGACTTTAATAATATGGTCTATAATGATGGGAAATCCCAAATTGATTAATGTGAAATATCACTGGCATAATACCAACACCTGTATACCTATATATTTGCAGGTTAAAATTATTCCAAGTGCTTTATTAAGACACATATGTTCCAAACTAATGCAAAATATGATGAAATATATTGTATTGCCAAATTTTTAACAGGCGGTATTCCAAATATGTCTCTTACAAGCTATGTTTCACCCAGTTTAATTACACAGTATTATTATCCATACCTGCAACATTATAAAGTGGTTATGCTAGACACACTATGTAACTTGAAGACTGGAACCGCSTGACTTAAGGTCTGACAATGTGTGAAAGGACTCAAAGGATCAGTGTAGACTACTGTACAAGTTTTAACAGATAAACACATAAATATATATTGAAATCTTAGGAAGTCCTCCCTGAAGTTCTTCAAGTTGTTAGCTCCTTTCATTACATAAGGAGGGTATTTTCTCCGCAGTGACTCTCCGCTGCGCCACACGTACCTGCTGCGAGAGCCGCCTCGTCCTCAGGAAGAATCCGAGAAGACAGCCAACCGTGACTGAGAGCACCGAGAGGATGAGCAGGCCGTTCCTCCTGCAGACATCCTTGACCCGTGCGAGGATTGCGTCGAGAGCCACCGCCATGCTGCCCTCCGTGCTCTTTGGGGAAGAATCAGCATCCCCTGGGACGCGAATTTGCCAGCTCCTCCCGCCGGAGGGGACCGCTCCGGCTCTGCACAGATCAGATCAAAGCACTCGCAGTGCTGCGTGGCCGACCTGCAAGGTCACCCCTCTGCCAATAGCCACCAAGCAAGCAGCTGGCATTATTGTTCCAAATTAATACCGACAATCCTATTACCGGACACATCATTAAGAACCTGGAAGGAGATTAGGGAGCTCTGGAAAACTAGAACAGAATGCAGGAGTACGGCTAAAAGCAGCCTGCTTCCAAACAAAGTGGGGCTTGAGGAAGAAAGGGGGTGTTTGAGCATGGCCCCAGCTTGGGGTCTGAACAGGCAAAGCTAAGGAGGGGACAGTGCGCGCTGTGTAAAAGCCACCTTATGGTGCAGCTCCTCTCAAGGGCAGCACAGGTAAGATTGGGAGCTGGACTATCACAGCAGGGTGAGCTAGGTGAAATGGGGCTTCATTAACTAAAGCAGCCTCTTTTTTTTTAATTCCTTTCCTTAGTAAATAGGAATATAAAAGGAACCGAATGAGTAGCACAAGAGACACTTATCAAATAGAAATTACCACTATCCCAGGAACTGCAGAACACCCCCCAACCTTCATCCTGTGGGAAGTGAGACGATTTCACTTTTTCCTCTTCCTGCCATGTTGATTAGAGCAGGGCCAATTTACTTTCAGACGATTACCAGATTAAGCTGCACGGGCTGCTTTCCTTTCCTTTGCGGCGTGGCACATCGGCCAGACACCAATTTTTCTGCTAGTGAGTATCTGATAAAAATATGTAACTGCTTTAACTATTAGCTACACCTGTTTTTCTAAGGAAGCCTTACCGTTGTGTCTAGGTTTGTAATTTTTTTTAATGGGAAATATTAGGATTATTCAGTATTTTTATGGAAAACATTCTGTGCTCTGCAATCSATCTGGGTATTTATCATATGGTGGTTTTACGTGAGTATGTGTGAATGAGTGATGAGCCACAGAGGCCCTCACCAAGGAGAGAAACAAAACATCCTCTGGATGTTGCAGGCTGAATGAGTAATAGTACTGTGACAAGATTATATGGTTTTAACACGCAGTTTTATGGGCTTTAACTCCCCGATCTTCAACACAAGCGCAGCCGTGAACGTGCCACGGGACCTCGCGCCTGTCAGGCGGGTCGCTGCCTCCGGGAGACACCGTGAGGGGGGAGCGGAGCAGCCCCCGCCCCGGGAGCGTTGGGCGCCGGTCTGCGGTGGGAGGAGCCGCCCCGAGGCGGGTGAGCGGCTGGGCCGGCCCGGGCCGGCCCCTGGGCGGGCGGTGCCTCGCGGCGGGTCACGCGAGCATCATGGCGGCCCGGCAGCTGCTCCTGAGGCGAGTGGTGGCCACGGCGCCGCGGGGCCGGCGGGGCTATGGCAGCGGCGAGTACCTGCACCGCAGCATCGTGCCCACCATGCACTACCAGAAGAGCCTGCCCAGGTACCGCGGGGCGCCCGCCGGGGTCCCCTCGAGGCCGGCCCGAGGCGGGAGGAAGGGGCGGCTGCGAGGGGGCTCCGCGGCGGTTGGGGCGGGGCCGCAGCAACGGCTCGACGCGACCGTTAGCGGGGGGGGGGGTCGAGTGAGGGGGAGGAAACGGCCCGTTGCCCTCCGGTGTAACCACGTCCAGGGTGTCCTTGCTTCGCGTTTCTCATSAATCCCACCCGAGAGGATCATTCAGAAATAAATAAATAAATAACCCCCGCCACAGCTGTGGCTGTAGCAGTGCTGCTGTTGAAACAGTTTGTGAGGTAACTTCTGCAGTTATAAGATTATTTTATACTGAGAGAAGTTTTSATGTTCAGGCTGAGGGGAGGATTGCAAAGACACCCCCCAGGGAACCCTGTAGAGAAAGGCAGGTGTTCTGGCCCTGGCTAAGGTCTGGATGTGAAAGGTGTCCAGCAAGCTAGGCTTTATTTCTGTTGCGAAATTTTCTGCCTTGAAACAATTCCTGCTTTTCTGTATTGTCTGTAAGGTACTGAGACTTATCACTGTAATAAAAAGTTATTCATTCTGTTTTTCTTATCAAAATATGCAGTGATGATCCTATGTCCATCTGTTCTTTCTTCCCTACCTCTTTCACAAGTAATGTTTATTCATTTGGATAATACGGAGTATTATAAAGGATAGGAAAGAGAAGAGAGACTACTATATAAGGAAAGAGAAACTATTGTGTAAGAAATGTCTTCCTTAGTACTATTGTTCGTAAATGAATATCTTTTCCCCTTCAGACTACCTGTTCCCAAACTAGAAGATACAATAAGGAGATACCTGAATGCACAGAAGCCTCTTTTAAATGATGACCAGTTCAGGTATGGACAAACAAGCATGTTGCAGTATAATTTGTTGCTTTAAAGCTGAGTATTAAATATCAAAAATATGCCATGTGACAACCTTTTGCCTATTCTATTGATGCTTTAGGAAAACAGAAGATCTTGCTCATCAGTTTGAAAAAGGAATTGGAAGACAGCTGCATGAGCAACTAGTTGCTCAAGACAATCAGAACAAGCATACTAGTTACATTACAGGTATGTTGGCCTACAGGATAAAGAAAACATCTTCAGATCATCATACTTGATAACAGACAGTTTGTAATGCTAGAAATGAAGTAGGTTAAAGTTCAAACAATCTGTTACATAAACTCGTAGTAACTAGCTGTGAGGACTACCTGTGACTATTTCACCAAGTACCACTTTGGTGGACAGAATACTGTGCTCTTTTATATTCCATAATTCTGCAGGACAGACTACTATTGTTTAAAAAGAATCCTGGTCCTAAAGAATTCTATTTTCTCTTTTTAAATGAAGAATTTTAAAGCTAATACTGAAATGCTGTGGGATAAAATGTAAGGTAGTGGTGAACCACAGTACTAATACTTTTTGTTTTATTTTTTAAAATAGATTATTCAGAAATATATTTATATAATCTGATTGCTTTGTTGARAACAATTTTTTTATGGCATATAGTATTTTTAGTTTGTTCATTTGTAGTGGAATATCATGCATCCTGTAGTGCTTCTGTAAGTGGGGAAATAGTTATAATCACTATGCAGAAATCTTATGCTAAAATATCTTTTTTAAGGGTAGAGTTTTTAAGTGTAGGATGGACAGCTTTGTAGGAATATCCTCTTCATAGTTTCTTGGGAATTCATCTCATAATGCTGTATGTATTTAAAGTTCCTTACTGTATTTAAATTTTAGTTGCAGTGCCTTTTTTTTTTCTTTTTTTTTTTTTTTTGCTATTTATGTTTAGGTTAATAGAGGAGCTTAATCTAGTAATTACTTTAAGGACACTATGGCAATTTCCTTCAAATAATTTCAGGTTATTTAGCAAGAAAACTGAACTTTGGGAGGCAGAAGAGGACAATGCTTCAAACTTAAAGGAAAAAAAAAGAATCTACAAAACCTCATTCTTTTAAAGAACAAGAGAATGAGAGAGACAGAGAGATGAGAAAAAAAGGAAAACAAGCTAAACATAATGAAGGTCAGAAAATGGAGACAAAGAGAAAGAATGGAAAGAGTGAAAGAACAGGAAAAGTAAGCATATAGTTTTAGATTAGTGATTCTTATTTATTGCTTCTACTGACTTCCAAGTATTCCTRATGCAAATATTTGCTTATGAAGGTATTGGATGGATAGCAATGGATACCTATGCTAATAGCAGTTTACATGTTGTCGAGCTAATGTGTATGCTGATAATAGGCAGACAAGTGTTAGCTTAATAAATTCCAGCAACCATAAATTCTTTAGAAAATATCACATTTCATATAAACTAAAGTTCAGTTTATTAGTTTTTATTTTCCTTTCATTTTGAACAGTATCTGGGGTTCAGACTGGTGACTGTATAGTATTTATCACTATTTATATATTTATTTTACCCATCTCCGTGGTCTTCTGAAAGACCTCTTGCACTTGAAATTGATTGCTGAAGCTGTGTATAGTTGCCTCTACCCTGGTCCATAAAAGATTTTATGATGATGAGTCATGTGGTTATAAACCCATAAATGGATATTCATTTGTGAGGACTTGAAAATAGAATTGTGGCAGACTTGCAAGTGCCTGGTAGACCTCTTACAGCTGGGTGTTTCAATTTGGGGGTAATGCAGGGTTTGAAAAATTAATATGTTAGCTGCCATGAGAGGAAAGCTGTGTGCACTTTGTCTGCTTGCAGTTAGTGCTTATACTGAGTGTAAAGGTCTTAGTGATGATGAAATATGAGATACTTTAAAAATCCCTTACTTCCTATACCTCCTGGATTTTTGYTTACTCATAGACTAGTGCGACTGCATTCTGGAGTTGTGATTAACTCGCTTGGTTATAGCAAGTGCACATCCTCTGGGTCATGTTGAAGCTTCTGCATATGCTGACAGGCCACACAGTGAAATGAGATTATTTAGAAGACATGCAGCTTATCAAATGTGAAACTTCTTTTGGAAGCCTGTTCTTGTCTTGGAACAATAACCTTGAGGTTCCCCCTAATCTCTTCTATCTGCCAGCTTTAAAGCTGGCAATGCATTACCCAGTGGGAATGTATTGGTATGGAGAGCTGTGCTCAGTACTGATTGTTCTAGTGGCTAGAAAGAGGAAGGTGTGAAAATGCAAGGTGGCCAATATAGATGGAAGAATGCTGCTAAGAATGAGAGGAATAGGAAAGACAATAAGGGAAACCCGGATCAGAAATGGAGGCTGTTCTAAAGAGAAGCATGCCTCAGTGTCAAGGTACTGCAGAAATTAGTAACTTAAGTGTAAAGGTATTTTCCACATTAAATGTGAGGGGTACACCAAAATCAGTGCCAAGGGGCTCAATATTCTACCGAGGGAGTTATGGATCATTGCTGAGACCTATAGAAAACATAGAGATGGGCCCTCATTGCTAATGACGTTGACACTCTTGACATGGATTGTTACAAGTGCAGTATTTTTACAATTAGTCAATAGTTCCTCCCTCAATAATTGGAGGTGGAGAGAGCCCTTGGGAGAATTATTGCATAAGTCTCTGCTATTCTGAGGCACTTTACTCCTGCTCACTGTTGGGGGCAGGATATAGACTATATGAACTTCTACTCTGACTCAGTAAGCTGCTTTTGTGTTCTGACCTACTTCTCAATTCTGTTTTCAGGTCCCTGGTTTGATATGTACTTGAAAGCACGTGAACCTGTTGTTCTGAATTTTAATGCATTTATGTCTTTTTATCCTGATCCAAAATCTGAATACAATGATCAGCTCATACGAGCTACGAACATGACTGTTTCTGCCATACGTTTTATGAAGACCTTAAGGGCTGGTTATCTTGAACCAGAGGTTTTTCACCTCAATCCCCAAAAAAGTGACACAAAGCTCTTCAAAAATTTCATTCGATTTGTGCCGCCTTCTCTTTCTTGGTTTGGTGCCTACATGGTCAATGCATATCCCCTAGATATGTCTCAGTACTTCCGGCTTTTCAATTCAACGCGCTTGCCTAAACTCAACAGAGATGAACTTTATACAGATGAAAAGGCAAAGCACTTACTGGTRCTGAGAAATGGGAATTTTTATGTATTTGATGTTATTGATAAAGATGGAAATATGGTGAAACCTTCGGAAATACAAGCGCACTTGAAATACATCCTCAATGACAACAGTCCAGCGCCAGCCTTCCCTCTTGGGTATCTCTCCAGTGAAAACAGAGATACATGGGCATTGCTGAGAAAGAATCTATTGGACAATGGCAATGAAGAAGCTCTTCAAAAAGTAGACTCTGCCCTCTTTTGTTTAAGTTTAGATGACTTTTCTGTCAAAGACCTTATGCACTTGTCCCACACTATGTTGCATGGAAATGGTGCTAACCGTTGGTATGACAAATCCTTTAATCTTATCATAACTAAAGATGGCACAACAGGAGTTAATTTTGAACATTCTTGGGGAGATGGGGTGGCAGTGCTCAGATTCCAGAATGAGATTTTTAAAGATAGCACTGGAGAACCAGCTGTCAGCCCCCAGTCCCAGCCTGCTTCAATTGACTCTTCTAGAGCAGTACAGAGACTTGACTTCAAGCTGAATGATGCTTTAAAAGCGGGAATTACCAAAGCCAAACAAAATTTTGATTCTACTGTAGAAACACTTGCCGTTGATATGATTCAGTTCCAAAAAGGGGGCAAGAACCTGCTAAAGCAGAAGAAGGTAAGTCCGGATGCTGTGGCACAGCTTGCCTTCCAGATGGCTTTCCTTCGACAGTACAATCAGACTGTTGCTACGTACGAATCTTGCAGCACTGCAGCTTTCAAACATGGTCGTACAGAAACTATACGTCCTGCCTCCATCCACACAAAGAAATGTTCAGAKGCTTTTGTCAAAGAACCATCCAAACATAGTACAGAGGAGCTTCAGAAGATGATTGTGGAGTGTTCAGAATACCATGGCCGTTTGACAAAAGAAGCTGCTATGGGTAAGTGGGAATGTAAGGAACACTTAAACTTTTGCACTGAAATGTCTGCTTAGGTTGCAGTAAAAGTTTACGTTGCAGCTAAATAATTTAATCTTGATGGAGGTCTGATGGAGAGTGCCTCCATGTTCCCACTTTACTATTCATTTTCTTTTATTTTTTTTTGATACCTTAAAATTCTCTTTCTATAGCAGCTGTTTAAGCATTGATAAATACTTAGAGTGTGCTCAAGTCTTTAAGGCAATCAAAAACTTTAGTTTTGTGACTGAAGAATTGTTATGCTATCCCCTGCAGGAAGATTTAAAAAAACTGCAGGYAGTTTTAAAAAGCATTTAAAATGCACCTCCTTTGTTGAGGAGTCCTGTTCAATGTCAATATCCTCTTCATCAATTCATAAATTTAAGGAAGGCCTTTCTATCCCTGACTTTTTTAAAAAAACTTAAAAATCCTCAGGTAAAAAATTGAGTATAGCTAATTGAAGAATGTGACATACTATTAAAGTCTTTAATGTTGCACTTCTATTTGCTATCATGATTATTGGTTAAGGGGTAGTAGCAAAAGAGCCAGCTCTAAGATAGAGCTCATTCCGTTGCATAACTGCACAAAAAGTGCAAGTGTCTTAAATGTGCAGAATATTCTGTTAAGTTAAACAAAAGCTGTTCTATGGACCTTTCGGTTTTGTGACTTAAAAGCAGCATGATGTCAAAGCACAGAGTTTACTTCTCACAAAAATCAGTGATGTCTCTAATAATTCTTACTTTATTTCTACAGGTCAGGGATTTGACCGCCATCTCTTTGGCTTGCGCTGCTTAGCCTTATCCAAAGGTACTGCATTACCTGATTTTTACCAAGACCAAGCCTATGCTCGGCTTAATCACAACATCTTGTCTACAAGCACGTTGAGTAGCCCAGCTGTGCAATTAGGAGGGTTCGGCCCAGTGGTGCCTGATGGTTTTGGAATAGCATATCAAGTACATGACGACTGGATAGGTTGCAGTATTTCCTCTTACCCAACTAGGAATGTTAAAGAATTCCTTCAGTGTCTAAACAAGTCACTGGAAGATATCTTTAATGTTTTAAAGAGAAAAAAAGATTAGCAGTTAGAGTAAAAATTTTGGAGCACTTCACAGTTGCCTAATGAAATGCTGGCTGTGTTTAAATGCCAGAACATTGTAATCAGGGTTCACTGTGGCTTAAACTTCCCATCTTAATTCATTTATCTACATTGAATTTGGATATTGTGTGGATTCATTTTGAGAATTTATCAGTTTTGAAGAAATCAAGTACCTTTGATATATATTTCAGGAAATTCAAACAATGGCAAAATTAAGAAACAGACATATCATGTGCTCTTAAAATACATTACTTAAAATATAAAGCAATAATTATGATATTTAAGAACTTGAACAGCTATGCTTCATGAGTTTCAGGAAGACAACAGCACTGTAAAACCACTTATGAACTGTTTGGTTTTAGAATAACATATGCAACTGTTAAAATGTGAAAGAGGAATGGTAACATTTGCACTTTTGCAGTAAGCTTGCTTACTAACTTGTCACACTTACTTTTTTCTCTAAACTTGAATCAATGTCAGACTCATTGTGCCTCAACTGCTTGAAGCCTTTTCAAAGAAGCTGTTTTGAGAAACAATAATTGAAGTGGGAGGCTTTAAGTAACTTGCAACAACCAATTATGTTGTCAGAATATCTGGAAAGATTATTGTTATAATAAAGCTATCTATTAATAACCACAAAGTTATTTTATTACCATATTGAAGTAGGCAGTATGGGGGTAATCTCTTGTATCAATAGGTTGTTTCTTATAAGGGTTGAAAAGAACTTTTTTGAAAACATGCTGCAGTGTTCACTGTTCCCTCTGTGAAGTCTATCCAGTAACTTGCTGATTTAGTTTTGCTACTTAAACCTGTGCTCCTGTAGTTTTTTGTTTGTGTTTTTGTTTGTTTGTTTTCTCCCCATTTTTCTCTCCTATTTTGGAAGCAGAATCCTTAACAGAAACACTTTACCCCATTTTATCCATACTCTAGAATTTGACTTCTCTTGTAACCAGAATATTGATATTTACTGCAGCAAACATCAAAGTTCTAGTGCTCAGAGGTGCATCACTAATGCTTTGGGCTTTGCTGCAGAAATTCCAAATACAAAAGTTTGGCAGGACTGCCCCCCTTGAAGGTGAGCTTGAGGCCAGAAACTGGTGAAACTTAGTGGTGATGGGAATGAGATGGAAGTGATGCAGACACATTCCTGGTATGCTGCTCACAAACAGGGGTATGTTAGCTACCAATAGGGCTTGCAGCAAAATGATCTTTGTCAGGCAGAAACCAAGCTTCTCAAAGGAGCTGGGATTATAGCACAGATGCTCTGCCTTCACATGGGCCTTTACCCGGAATTCTCTATGGTACGTACAACTTGAACTCCTTTGCCTCTTGAACCTTAATGCCTTCCACTTTTCTTTCTGGAAGACAGATGTCCTTGCTGCTAAACAGCACCGCAGTGTTTGCTTTTGCAGCCAATGTTTCAAATAACTTCAAGTAGTGTTAAATGAGTGCAACTCTTGTCTTCTACCACAGCCCAGATGCCCAGATGGCCAAATACATTAGCAGAATATAAGGTCCGAGCATGGAGGTACAATGTGACTAATGAGGTTCAAAGGCCCAAAGATGTACTTGTCTTTACTCCTTCTTTGGACATGTTCAGATTCTCCTAATGTCTTTTTTGCTCTTTAGCACAGTAAATGTTAACAGTACTGAATTTTGAAGCATGTGCTGCAAGTGCTAGGCAGGAGAGGAGCATATTTAAGGCAAAGGATTGTAATGGTTTTCTAGTCATGTCCGTTTCCTTTCTAGTCATGTCTGTTTCCTCTGCATGCTGTGATATGATGTTCTAAATGAAAAGAACTATTTTAAAAATAGTGTCACTGTCCTTGCCATCTGCTATTCCCTTTGTTCCTCAAAACCTTGGAACTAAGTTTAGTAAAGACTTTTTTTTTTCCCTTACATGAGAATAATGGACATGATTGTAAAAGCATTTGTCATTAGGTAGAAAGAAACTAGAACTGAATAAGATTTACCTAATGACATATTCAGAAAGATAGCTGTAACATCTCATAAAATCAAGTTATACATAAATGTCAATAGGAATCATGCCTGTTAACTGTTTTTAGTAGATTGACTTCAGCATCTGTACCTGAACTTCTAGAAAGCTATTATAAAAACATACCTTTTTGCTTGAACCATTATTACCGTCCTTTTATGATGCTCAGAGCCATTTCTTAATACTASGAATGGTGAGGAACAGGATCTCATACTGCTTATGTTACAGAATCAAATATGGGCACTTCCTTGTAATAGATGCCTTAAAAAGTTATAGCAATAAGCTGTATAAATAGTGGCTGTTGAAGCACTATTTAAGCTTCAATCCATCAGTGCCCTGTGTATTCACGTTGTTCCTGAGAAGGACAACATTAAGAAAATGGTACAGTTCACAGAATGGTGGTGGTTGGAAGGGACCTCTAGAGATCATCTAGTCCAACCCCCCTTGCCCTGTGCTCCAGCAGGCACACCTAGAGCATGTGGCACAGGTGGCATCCAGGTGGGTTTTGAAGATCTCCAGAGAAGGAGACTCCACAACCTCTCTGGGCAGCCTGTTCCAGGGCTCTGTCACCCTCACACAGTCAAGCATATATCAGATTTCCAGTTTGCATTCAGGCCATCTCAAACCGTTCTGTTGGAAATGCTTTATTAGATGTTCTAATGATAGTAAGTAAAACTTACTTAAGCTTCCATTTCTGTAGTACAGCCATGGGAAGAGTAACTCCAAGGAAATGGCTTCTCTAATGTTACAGCTTCTACCTTCAAGAGGAGCATGCCAAGGTTTGTTAGAGCTGTGAGCTTTAGCATTTTACAAACTTATGGGTAACTTCATAGATTCCAACGGATTCCTTTGTTTTTTCATCATAGTCATTCCAATCCTATAGGAGTTAAGATTTCACAGTATTAGTCAGAGAAGGAAGAAAGCAACATTGTGTCTAAATCACAGTCTGGAATTCAGACTGCAACTAAGCCTTACTCAAAGTTTGGGCCTTACACTTTAGGAAGTGTTGTGCAATCACTAAGCTAAGTTCTAATTCCTAAGAAAAGAATACTGACCTGAAATCAAACTGATTTTAATCACAGTGTTTAACAAAATTTTCTTTCTATGTAGCCCATAGCCTGTAATGGGCAAAGCAGCAAACATGACAGATGAAAGGATTATCTATTGCTTACAATATCCTAGTCAGGTGGTTCAGCAGACAAGCTGATCCATGCCAAGTGGGATACAAGGGAGCAGATTTGACCTTGAAATTGTTGTGCACAGCCAAGGAAGATTTGCAGTATTGGAGTAGTTATTTCAAGCTCTGAAGGGACAGTATTTATCTTTTTCCTCTGCAGAGAGATATTAAAAGTACAGATACCACCTTAGAAAAATCATTTCACTATTCTAAAGGTCCCCAATCATTTAGTAGTCCAGTAATTTGCCGCTTGGGCAAAATATCTTGAAAGAGAAATTGCATCTTTCCTTTTGTCTGCTGATGGGACATAAAATATGTACTTCTAAAATTAACCTGCTAATAAAACTTGTTATTCATATTTGACAGTTTTTCTCCCCATTTATGAGCTTCCTCTGTCTACTTGAAAGTACAAAACTAGCTTCTTGCATGCCCAGGGTGTGTAATTTGGAGTAGGTAATTGGGGGAAAGCAAGCTACCTAGTTAGATTTACTAAGGAAACTAAGACAACATACCTTTTCTAACAAGTTTATGTCATTGAAAGGTGTGCCGGACTCTGCTCCTTCAGCAGCAAACCCTGCCTGCAAACACAGTTGCAATAAGTTTGTAAGAAGGAGCAGTACCAGTAAAGGAACTAATTATCATTACTAAAACATTTAAAAAATAACATAGCTCATTTATTTTAATTTTTGTATTTCCACTAAAGAAGGTAGAAACAATGTTCAACCTGCATTCTGCTCAAGGGTATAAAGCTGGGCTTTTGCCACCCAGCAATATTTACCAGCACTCCAAGGAGCAAGAAGCCATGTGACTGGAATTACAAGCTTCTCTACCAGACCTGCACACTGGGACTTGCATTCTACAGCTTTGGCGTCAGAGCAAATGCTCAATTTAATCTCTGTTGAAGCGATCTGGGAAATGCAGTGATTTGTCTGCCCTCTGCTGACAGGTGAAGGACCAACAGCTAAAGTGCAACTTAACAAAAACATGACAATACATTATGTTACAATGTAATTTGGTTTTGCCCAAAAGAAAGTTGGGAGAAAAAAAATTAAAGAAATTTTATGAAGAATTTTTTTTTTTTTAAGTTGAAGCATTCACTTGTGAGATGACAGGAGAAAAACGGAACAAAACAATGTGAAAGCAACCCCCTCCATTTCAAAGTCATGGTAGATTTATTTACTCAAGCACACTGGAGAAAAAGCACAAGAAATTTGAGGAAAAGTGTTTTTTTCCCAGTGAGATATTTATATCAGAGAATCAAATTATATTTTCTCCTCTTTCAGACTCAAGTTACTTTTTTTTCTTTTTGAGAAGACTACTATCAAAGCAATGGAAATAAGACAAATAAAACTGTTCAGTGCTTTCACGCAGGTTTGTATCACACCTCTCAAAAAAGAAAAAAGTGCTATGGCCAGTCCCGCTAGCTGCTAATCAAGGGCCATATCTAAGACTGTTCAGAAGTCAGGATGGCTTGGATGTGAATTCTTTGTTTGAGCTGAYTGATCAAAGGAAAATTGAGAGGTAGGATGTGAATCTATAAATGTCTCCTACATCTTTTTTTCTTCTCAGACATTACTCCCAGAATATTTTCTAGGTCTAGCTTACAAAGATTTCAAACAGAAATAAACATTCTATTCAAAAAGATTGGTTTAATTTCAAAACAAACAAAACACAACAAAGTCTTCCTGCAGCAGAATACAGTAACTTTTTTATTTATATCTAATTCCTTGCAGGATTAACTTTTTGGTCTGTTAGCACAGTGTTCCAGTCTGAGGAAGGCTAATGCAAGTTGATATTTGTCAATCCATTTCCACCTAATCCTACTGGAATAATAGGTTAAATGTAGTAGGGAGTTAGTTGCATATAGCATGCCCATACACAAGCATATGAACTGCTGAAGGCTGGTTTGGCCCTAAAGAAATCATTTGCAGTAAGCTTTGAGGTGTGCTTTGCAACAGAGTCTTCAGTCGTCTGTCTTGGTCTGCCAAATTTCAGATACAAAAAATGCTAATGTTCATTTCCTTTGATTTGGCTTTGATGATGTCAAATCTCCCAAATAATCTGATTTTATTTAGAGGCTAGATACCGAAGGAAGTTCATAACCTGAACTTCATTTACTCTTTCTAATATACCTACGTGGAGCTCTTCTAAACGTGACCTGCTGCTATGCATTCGGTGATTTTCCTTTGGGAAAGACACCCTTTTGCAACAACTTCTGCAATGAAAACCCTTCAGATCTATTCAAGTGAGCAGTGCTGAGTCATTTGTAAGACAACCTGAACGTAACTACAAAGAATGTTTAATTTTAGCAGTTACTGGGATGCAGGTGCAAAGAACATGAGAGTTATTAGACTTTATGCTTGTCTTTTATGGAGTAGGATGAAGCAAAATAATTGTGGAGAAGAAATAAAACTGAAGAAGTTTGGGATGTTCCCAGAATAGTGGGATTATTTCAAAGCAATATGTGATATCACTCTATTAGAAATGCTTTTAAAAATGAGAAATGGATTATGAATAAGAACTTACCTGAGGTTGAAAGTCAACTGGTTCCAGGCCTCGGCATTCAAACTCCACTATTGTCTTGAATTTCTCACTGTCTTCAGCCTAGAATCAAGTGAGAATGCCATAATTTTTCTTTAATAAAGACAGTCTCAAGTATTAGTCTAGGAATAAACTGCTTTTCTATCAACTCTTATGTCCCAAGTGACAGTAAACTCCTTGGGCTGGTTTAATAGATGATAATTAGCTMGAATTTCTTAAACAATCTGCCAGGAAGAAGCCTTCAAAAGGAAAAGAGCATAGCTGCCTTTGATTTGAATGATACATTTTTTTGTTGTTGTTTTGCTTGTAAAATGTATCACAGATTATTCYATCAGACTGAAGTGGAAAGGATAAAACCATTAATAAGCTACTGCARACTGCCTTTTTGTTGTTGTTATTGTTGCTTTAGATTGTTTGCAGGATTTTGCAAGAAACAAATTTCTATCGTACAGCATACCTGATTTTGTGTAATACAAGGAGGAATGTGATAGCAAAGAATAGAAATCTTAAAATATCATTAATCCTTATTTATCTTTCACTTGTGATATAGAAAGAAAACAAACTTACGTTGTAAGGCTTGATGGTCTGACTTAAAATATCTAACAAAAAAAAAGTGAATAGCATTACATCTTCAGAATTTATTTCAGCAGAAACTGAAGACCAGCCTGTTCTCCTTTGGAAAATGATCTTTTTATACAAAGTAAAAGAAACAAAGCAACCAAGCAGTTCTTCTACTTAGTCCCTCAAAGGGTAGAACTCAGTTCTTGTCACTACACCCAAGAAGTTTATGGTCTTAATTAGTACGGCCTTGGTACCCTGGTGATAGCAACATGTACTTTTGTAAAATAACATTAAGGATGTGAGGTTTGCTCATACAAAAAAGTTGGTATTGCCATGAGGCCTGAGTACACAGAAGTTTAAGACTGAATCCATGGGTCACTATTCTCCATTTTTGCATCTCCATTTGTAGATCTATGCATCTCTGTTTTTTTGTGTATGCATAACCCCTGAAACTGCCTTTGTGGAAATTGTGCAGAATAGTACAGAACTTGCAAGTAACTTGCTAAACTTTATTTTACTGTTTTTTATTTAGGGAAACTCTCTCTTTGACCTCCCAATCTACTCCTGCCTAGAACAGTCCAGGCCTGGAAAGATACTAACCATGTAGTTATAAAAGGCCAAAATTTCCTTAGAGGTAAGAAACATTTCGTATCTCTGTCACCCCTAAGGAAGAATTAAAACAATAYTAACATCTAATGTTAGCAATTAAATACTTTATTTTACCTATTATACTTAAGAAGAAATTATTTTAAATGAGACTATGGTTATTAACAGCTCATATTATTGCTATTAGTATGAACTTCTTGTTGCTAGTTTTAGCAACCTAATATGCTGCAAAGGTTGCTGCAGCCTTGCTGTGTTGATTTAAATTGCTTTTTATTTTTGTTGATGACAAGTTGAACTGCAGCCTCCTTCATGAACATGATAATGATGACAAGTGCGCATCTGTTGCAGACTCAAACACCAGTGTCCCCCACCCCAATAAAAAAAAGTGCAGAAGTCTCACAAAAAATAAAAACTGGTAATGCAAAAATAAACCCAGGAGATGCCTTGTATATCTAAGCACATACCAATGGAGTTCTCTCTGGAGCATAGCTTGCATTTCTGCACCATGGTGGCACTCCCTCTGCCTCCTTTCAGAGGAGCACTGTCCTAAAGACAAGGAAACAGTGACATTTTAAACTGCATTATAGCTAAGCAACTGGAAACCTATGYAGAGATAAAACATTTTACAAGAACAGTCACAAACAAACAGATTTTGCAATGAGAAAGCTGTTTTAAACTAGAAAAAAAATCTGTAATTTAGGAAGCCACAATTATAAAAGAAAAAAAAACTGTTTTAGATATACAATAACAGAGAGCTAAATGGATAGTTATGATCTGTCCATATAAATATKAATACCTCAAATTTCTTAATGTTACTTAAAATGTAACAAAACATGATGATTACTCTGATCTTGCACCTTGCAAACAAACAAATCRCTGTGACTCCTTGCAACACATTGCAGGACTGAGGCCCACAGGAGGAGAGAAGAGATGGTCCTGTGTTTGAGGCAGAAGACTGACATTCCTAAGTGAAAAGTTGTTCCATCTCTCTGCCTCTGCCCTTTGCACTGTAAAGGGCAATACTGCCTAGCATATATTGCCTATGTTCAATTGTCAATTTGTCAGACTTCATGAGGCATCTGGATATGGTGATGAGTTTAGTAGATAAAAACAAAATGGCTTGAGAGATGACTTAGCCCATCCTTCTGCCTTAAATAGAACAGCTCCATCATTCTTGATAAATACTTTCTAATGAGTTTTTGAAGTTCTMCTTTTATAAAATCAATTCCACATGAATGGAATTAATGCAGGCTTTCTCATTTTTATTGTGATGCAGATTGCAAGAGGAAAACATACCATTAATCGCAGATACTGCCATTTTTCAGAAACTTCACCACAGTTCCCACATTTCAGCTGAAAGCAATATAAACCAGAGAATTAACAGTTGTCAGTGGTTAAGAATTAAAGGCAACAGGAAGCCTGAGGATTCACAACCCCTTAGTTTTGCTGATGAGAGGAATCAGAGACAGGTATTGATTGCTACCTCTCATTATAGGTACATAGCACAGCACTAGAACCAGTACACACAGCAGCAGGGGCAACCATGTCCTTTGGGGTGCTAGAGGGACAGCATGTGGCTGAATAAATAATAGGAATAAAGTGCCCCATTTACCTGAATTATCAGCCAAATCCAGGGGGCACTGATAAACATGTGAATTTAAGAATTTGAATTACAGTAAACTAATGTATAATGTAATATATATGTGTGTTTATGTATATACATACATTTATCTATAACAATATTGTGTATATATTCATGTATCTCTGCACTAGTTGTGCCTGGCGGCTTGGCTTATGAAGAAAAACAACATTTGTCTTTAGAAGCAGAGTCTGAGCGAGATGACCCCGCAGCACCAGAGACCTCCCCCGCCTGGCACCCGCCTCGACAGCGCGCAGGCCAGAAGGAAAGGGGCGCGGGGCGGTCCCGGGCGGCCCGCACCTTGAGGTACCAGCGGAAATCCTCGCCCTCGGCCCGCAGCCGGGTGATGTTCTCCAGCGTGGCGCGCAGCTGCAGCCCGATCTTCTGCAAGGCAAGCGGCGGGATAGCACGGTTAGGGTGGTTCGGTTAGGTTAGGTTGGTTAGGGCAGCCCTGTCGCGCCTTTATCGCGGCCCCCGACCTACCCCCATGGCCTCGGAAGCTCCGGGGCCGCCGCCTCTCGGGGCGGGCGTTGGTGGATTCCTACCCTCTCGCGTGCCCTTAGCCAAGATGGCGGCAGCCTTCGCTGCCGACTGCGGACTGAAGCCAACACTGCCCTCAACCAAGATGGCACCGCGGGGCGGGAGGCGGAGGCCGGGCCCAGGGCAGCGGCAGGGGCGGCCGGGGAGGAACAGGCGGGAACGGGGCTGCTTGGGAGGGAGGAGGCGGCCGGGGAGGAACAGGCGGGAATGGGGCTGCTTGGGGCGGGAGGAGGCGGCCGGGGGCCCTGTGAGACCTCTGGGGTAAGGTGGTGAGGAGTGGGTGACTTCTAGGTTTAAAAAGGTTGACTTTTTTTTTTTTTTTTTTAAACCTGCTGGCTCCTCTTTTGGAAAAAGCTGAGAAGGAAGCTGAGGAAAATCAGGAGCAGCTAGAAATGTACAGTGACATCCCTGACAGCAGCATGAAAATAGAAGGTGAATTTTACTCAATAAAACATGGGTACATGTTCATCCAGTTTTCTAGGAACTGGTATGTTTAATTATTTTTAAGATCTGTAAGTTAATCCTTTTAAAATCAAGTAACTCATGTTGGTTTTAGTTCCAAAGGGTGCAGTTGGGCACAGAACTAAACTTGTGCCACTGGCTTTGGTAAACACTCCATCGGCAATAGCCTAGCTTAGTTACAGCTTACTATTTCTCTCAACATTTTATGTTAAAAATATTCTTTTACTCATTTGTTAGGTCAAAAGCTGGACAAGAGTTAAGCTAGACTTTTTATAGTTAAGGCAAGTTGCTAATTAATCTCTCTCGTTTTGATGAGACTCCGTTTACATTGGAAAAATGGTCTGAAAGCTTAGTGTGTCTCAGTGAAGTGCAGTGGCATTCTTTTCAAGGAAGAAATTCTTTATAGAAACTTTCCCCTTTTCTCAATATTGTCTTTGCAGTGGATTTCTTCTGCCTTTATGCCTGCTGGGGCGTATAACTGTTGTGACAGTCCTTCTTAACTTGCCCTAAGCTGAGGCACTAGCAGCTGTCAGACAAATTCAGTTTAGTTTGTATTTGCCATGAAAACCATCCATCTCCTTCAAACAGTACTTCTGAAAAAATTACCATCTCAAAGTTGAGGCATTACTTAAAAGATAGTCTAGAATGTAAGTAAATACATTCATGCTTTTCTGTTTTTTTCTTAAATTTTCAAGGAAAGAAGGAAGGGAGTAGTGAAGATGGTAGGTAACTCCTGTGCAGCCTTCTGCCTTTTTCTACTCTAAAGGCATGTGACTACTCACAGCACTGTAAGGAGTTATCACATGTGGAGACAAGGTTTCAGCCACTTTGAATTTCTGAGCTGGGCACCAGCATATCCCATTCAGGATCTGTATCAGTAACAGCTTTAGTCTGACAGCTGGCAAAAGCTTAATGACACGGGGCAAGGCTTAATTTCATTTTCTAGTACTACGTGGAAAGAATAATACATATAAAGCCTTATGTAAAATACAAGTAAAAGAACATATCCTGAGAACTGTAACAAAAGTAGTATTAGGAAATCAATTTATCACCAGAACTTTTAAATTAAAAATACCGATCGCACTGTTTTATTAAAGACATTCACTTAAAGCTTGTAAAAAAAAATTCTAACATACATAAAAGTTACAGAGCAAAGTAGTAAGAAATTGAAACAGCATTTCTCACATACATACTGCAATACAAATTTCAGTTTATATGACTTAAATTGGCTTAATCTTGAAGTGTAGTCCAATAAGACTGAAGACTAGACATTTAAGGTCCTGAACCAAGTAGTAGAACACTCTCAAGCCTTCTGGATCCCTGCAATGTAGAACAGAGAAATTAAAAGTTACACTGACGTTCTAAGAAGGCACTTTTTTTTCTCTTAAAAAAAAAAAAAAAAAAAAAAAAAAAACTATAGCTAAACTTCTTACAGGACATCTTAGATGTAAGAGATTCATTACCCACTGCGGTAATTAACGTATCATTTTTGTATCCCAAGTCAAAATCAGCATTTTCAATGTGCAGGTATATAGTAACATAACTTCAGACTTATGAAACACAATATCCAGTCTGTGTTTAGATGAAATATCAAACTCTTAGGTCAAACCAGAGACACAGAAATATCTAACAAGTGTTCCTGTGGTAAGACTAGCTCGGCAAGTTTGAAAATATATTAAATAGAGACATACTTTCTAAAAGCATTTGGTATGTTATGCTAGACCTCCCAACACATGTGTTTGTTCAAATTACAAATCAGTTTTTAGAGGCATAAAGTACATCTACTGAGTAATCAGCAAGTTTCACGTAAGAACAACAACAAAAAGAACAGAGTACATACTTGGATTGATTTACATCTATAAGTGAACCAATTTTTGATGTGGTAAAAGAGATGTGYTCATCCCCGATTACTATTTCAAGCTCCTACAAAATAAAAGATTACAAAGAAATCAAATTACTGTTTGTGATATCAGTTACAGAAATAAGCAGGGGGAAAACAGCTTTTCCATTTTTATTCCAAGGGCACTAAATGCAGTACATCTATGATCTGACTGCTTAAGTTGTCTTTTGATGCTGCACACATTATAAAAAGAYATCTCTTCACTAGAAACTATAGTTGCTTTAAAAGGTCAGTTTAAAYTTTTACCTAACTAGGTAACACACAAACTAGAAGAGCAATTGAAAAAGACACTGAGCACCAACCTGCCGACCAACTCTGTCAGGGGGAGGCCACAAAGCATCATCTTCTTTTGTAATTTCACTGTCATCAATGATTCTCTTCAGCTCCTCCATCACACTCTTATGAACATATGCCTAGAAACAACAGTTCAGCATGAAAAAACACAAGTGCTATCTTAACATGATATAGTTTTTATTCGCCTAACTAGAACACTCAAGTAGAGTTACTCGCTGATTTCAAATAAAACACTTTTAAGAGCAGCTAGACTACTAATATGCAATATGCAGGCTGGGCATGTGGACCCATCTTTATGGRAAGTGCTGGGTGAGTTTTACAGTGTTATAAAAACTCTCGGTTTWTTTTCACACCACGGACCAAACACCATACCTCCTTTCTGATCATGACATCATTTTTGTAGTTGCTGTTGTTGGCATAGCGCAGTTTCCCTGGTTAAAAAAAAATARCAATAAAATAAAGCAGAATTAGCGTTAAACCCCTGTGACTGCGGCGAGGGGCTAACGGCCTCGCCAGCCCGGACCCCGCGGCCCGGCGCAGGCACCGGAGGCGCCAAGGCCTGCCGGGTGAGAGCCGGCTCCGGCGGGGCTCCCGGCGCCGCTACCAGATCCGATCCGCTCCGGTTCGATCCTCACCGTCGGGCCGGAACTCGAACTCCAGGAACTCGTGGCCGAACTTGCCCTTATGCCCCACGTAGTAGCGGAGGTAGAAGTCGCTCGCCATGGTGCCGCCGCCGTCCCGGCATGCAGCGCGACGCCGGGCGCTGCCGAAGCGCGTCACGACGAGCGGGCTGTGCTGGGGCCGCCCCGCGCCGCCCCCCTCGGCAGCGCCGCCCGCAGCAGCGGCGCGCGGCGGTGGCGGCCGTTAGCGCCGCGCTCTGATTGGCCCGCAGCGCCGCGCGGCCGTTGGCCTCGCTCCAACGGCCGGCTCGAGGCGGGCGGTCGCGGGCGCCCCCAGGCGGGCTCATGAGGGCGAAGCCGGTGTCCGGCTCCTGCCGCCCGCAGCTGCCGCCACGGCGGGAAGTGTCGCCTGGCGGGGGCGCTGGCTCCCTGCTGCCCGCCGACGGAGAGGGGCAGGACCTCCGATTCAATCGGGGCGACCCGGACATCGTCAAGTCCCCCAGCGACCCGAAGCAGTACAGGTGCGCAGCCCGAGCTCCTTTCCCCTCGCCTCACGCCTAACGGTCGTGGCTTCCCTGCGATACTCGGAGCTCGACCAGCTAGCACAAAACTTTTTCCCCTTCTCTTAGAAACAGTTTTAGTGCTTAGAAAAAAAGCATAAAAGTTCAGGATATTGCCTACTGTTTCCCATGACTGTGATAGTAATAGCTGAGGTTTCATTGCTGAACTACATCTAGTGCATCAATCAAGATGCAAATCTAAGAATCAACTCGATACTTGAAACTGCTTGATTTTGTCAGGGAAGGATGCATCACATTCTTTCCCCTCAAAACTGGGGAAATTGCTGATAATAATGAAAGATTTCTTGCAAYACTTAGAAATTGTAGTAATAAAAATGAATTGCAGGTACTCTTTTACTTTGAGTCCAAGTATTAAACTTTTTACGTTAGTGTGTTAAAAGCTATGAGTCAATCAATGGGCAAGTTGCTTGTAGTAAGTGTCAGCAATGATTAATAGCTCTGTAACATTATCTATCTTGTATTGGTAAATGATTATTACTATTAAAATAGTAATTAGAGTATTGCTTTTTTAGTTATGTTAAACCTTCATCTAAAAAGTTGCATTTTATAAGCATGTGGCATAAAAATGTGGTCTTAGAGATTAGTAGCACTGTCTGTCTCCAGAAGCTTCTTATTACATGAATGGTGAGGTGTTTGGTTTTGCTGAGCAGATAGGCAAATGTGCAGCATTTYGGAGAGATCTCTTGCAGCAAGGCTTAAATGATCTTTTTAATCATATATTTAGAATAACAGTATTATGGTTCACAAAACCTCTGGGCTATAAAGACCAATAACTTAGAAACAAATTTTGAGTGGGGGAAACACTTTGGAGCAAGGACCCAAAGAGGCTGTGGAATCTGCATCCTTGAAATGGTCAGAACTGACCATATCTAGTTGGACCTCCTTTGAGCAGGAGTATTACTTAAAGATAATCACAGGAGGTCTCTTTCAGCCTAAATTATTTTATGAGGGATTTACAAGTGATAGGGAGATCCCTTGCTGGTATCCCATGACATTTCAGCACAGCTGTAGCTTCTAATAGGGAACAAATACTTATGCTCTTGCCTTATAGACCATATGGCTGTTTTCTTCAGACACAAGGTACTTCTTTCCTCAAGTTCTCTTCCTGTAGTCCTTTTGCTCTTAGTCAAAAATGATACTGAGAATCATAGATCTTAAGCTGATGGAATTTCTAGTATTTTCTTTAGCAAAGTCATCTTAGGGGAGAAGAGGGCCYCTGCTCCTCTATCTGTTAGTCTGGTGGTCATGTGGAAGTTTGTGGAACACCCATTTTTAACTTGATCTGTGATCTCTGAAAATCACAAGCTATTTTCCTGATTAAAATCCTAGCTTGAGTGGTAAAAGATGCAGTTTCTTTTTTTATTGTCTGTGTTCAGTACTACATGCAAATATAGTGCAAATAAGATATATTGCATATAGTGCAATAAGCAATATTGCATATAGTGCAATAAGCATTGGTGTAAGAGTTAAGAAATTGCAAAGCAAAATTAAACCATCCTGTACTTTTCATCATGGCTTCTACAGGTAAGTGAAGAGCACAGAAATAATTCACAGAATGTTCTATTGTTTCTTTATTCTTTTGGGCTTGGGAGTGATCTCTTTTAAAGTTTCATTTATAATAATTTTACACTGCAGTAATATTTGCATYGATGAACTTGAGTTGATCTCATGTAGCAGTTGCTGCCTCACTTCCCAAGTGCAGGCAGTTAATGTGGGGATATTGAAGCTGATTCTGCTTACAGTGTGATTAAGCCAGGCAATATTTGTCTTTTTCAATTGTTTAAAAAAAAATGGCTGACATGCTTCCAGATCTAAGCTGTATGTGRAAATGACATAATGTTTGGCCTGGTGTTGTGTAAATAATCAAATAAAACTTTTTGGCCTCAATTAATTCTATGGAGATGCAAGCCTTGGGTGTTCATATCTCATTGTAAATATCTATAAACTGACTAAATCACCTTTGATAGGTCAAATTTGGTTGTTGTTTTTGTTTTTCAGGAGTCTTGTATGTCTTTGATTTAGCTTCTCCTTCTTACTGTGCAGGAACCAAAAGCTTCCTCAACATAATCCAAATGTTGGGATTAATTGTTGATTTGTTTTCACAAAAGTTGTATATTTTCTTTGGAAAAATATGAATGTTTAAATGCTCATAAACTGGAATTAAGTAGCTAGTTTGGATATTTTATAAGATTTCATTGTATCAAAATCATTGAAAGGAGAAAGCATTTTTGTTGTGTTTAAGGGACGTTACTTTTTGTTTGGACAAAAAACGGAAGAAACYAAATAAATTTGGTGTTCCTTATACTATTCACCGGACACATAACATCATTACAAAGAATGATGAAATAATAAAAAAAAAAAAAAGGCATAGGAGGATGAAATACTTAAGGTTGATGCTTGAACTGATAATGGTCTTCCACTGTAATTCACTACATAGCAGTAGGAGAAGATGCTTCTCCACTCCCTGGGTTACACTATTTTTCTTACCTTCTGAAGGGATGTGAAGGACATTTCCCTTATTAGCCTAGGGAAATTTATTTATGAGTAAAAATTAATTATTAAAATATGTGCAACTCAGCTAAGTGATGAACTGTGCCACTTTTTTATAAATTTGAAGTGGCAATCTTGACAATTTGTACCTATTGTTATCTACTCTACTCACATATTAGGATTCTTAACCTTTGTGAAAAAAAAAAAAAAAGAAAACAAGGACTAAGCAATTTAAACAGTCAGTATTTCTGCTCTCAAGTTATCTTTCATTTTTAGCAGATTTAGTGACATTTCTGGGGAAGATAGCTAGGAACAGTTATACTGTGCACCTACTTTGATGATTTAGATGTTTTAAGGACAACTTGCATTGTCCGTGTAATTGGTTTCATAGGTATATCAAATTGCAAAATGGTTTGCATGCATTACTCATTTCCGATCTAAATAATATGGAGGAAGAATCCTCAGAAGAGGACAGTACTGAGTCTGAAACTGAAACGGATGAAGGCAGTGACTCAGGAGCAGACATGGAAGATAATGAGGAAAGCTATGATAACAAAATTGATAAGGAAAATTCTGAGGAGGACCACAGTGATTCTGACATGGAAATTGAAGAGTTAACGGGGAAAGARGAGTCAGAGGCAGAATCAACAGATAAAGAAGATTCAGAGACTGAACAAACAGAAAAAGATGAGGAAATTGAAAGTACAGAGAAACTGGTATGTGTTAATGTTATAGATTAAAGACTTTTGAAGCAATGATTCTTGTCCCCAGCTGAATTATCTATTCCAGACTCTTCTTCTGTAGGTGTGCCTGCTTGAGCGGGAAGGTTGGACTAGATGATCTCTAGAGGTCCCTTCCAACCTTGAATATTCTGTGATTCTGTTTTCCTTGTACAATGTTTCTTTTGCAGTTCTTTGCCCMTCTTGCCCAGCTATGTGCCACTGCTGCTGGTATGTCTAGATTYGCTCTTTACTGAGTGATTTTTCTGACATGACAACAGAATTAGCATTTTTTCCTCTGTGGGTGAATTTCAGTTATTTCCTTGTGGTAGTTGCATTTGATCAATTGGTATTGATTACCGGAAAAGTTAATATTGTTTTTCTTACAAGTTATTGCATTGATGTCTAATGTTTTATTTTACAGTCTGCTGCTGCTCTTTGTGTTGGAGTTGGCAGTTTTTGTGACCCTGAAGATTTACCTGGGTTAGCACACTTTCTCGAGCACAGTATGTGTCATTTTCCATGTTGCTTTTCCATGTTTACTCATATTGCTTAGATTTTATTTCTAATYCAGCTTTTCATTTCAGTGGTATTTATGGGCAGCTTAAAGTATCCAGATGAGAATGGGTTTGATGTGTTCCTGAGGAAGCATGGTGGCAGTGACAATGCTTCAACTGACTGTGAACGAACAGTCTTCCATTTTGATATTCAGCAGCAATACTTCAAAGAAGCTCTTGATAGGTAACTTGATCACATCAAATAAAGCATTGCTTAGCTTAAAATACACTATGGCAGTGCATCTTTTTTTTCTTAAGAAATGTAGTTCAGGCATTTCTGTTTGTTYCCTTGTTTTGGTCAGATGGAAGGGTGTATTATTTTCTGACTTCTTTAGCTGTACCTGTACTGAAGCAAAAGACACTGTGTGTGAAAGAAAACTAGTGTTTCTTTGGTTATCTTATAAGCAGCAGTTGTGACCTACATTATTATATATTATTTTGTGATTAATTTTAGGAGGTTTTCATTTGTGTAAATTCAAGTAAAGCATTGGCCATTTTTGGCCGTATTGGGGCTGAGTCTTGTGAGGAGGGAAATATATCTTTAGTTTTGTGTGGGGGAAGAAAAATAAGATCTCCTTATGGATTTTTGTATTGTATGATTAGGTCTTCTGATATTAAAGCTTCATCTGTTGTTCAAGCACAATTACCATTGCCAATATCTCCTTTATGTTGGAAGCAATGTTTCTCTCCACCAGACAGTAAGAAACAATTTACCATTTTTCTTTTTGCTTTAGATGGGCACAGTTTTTCATTCACCCCTTAATGATCAGGGATGCAATTGACCGTGAAATTGAAGCTATTGACAGTGGTAAGAGCAACCTACATATCCGTAAACTTTTCTTGAGCTTCTCAGCCTGAAGTCTTGAGTATAGCATTTAACCAATATGCTTTCATATTCAGTACTATGAACTCTCATCATGTATAATTATCATTTATTTTTAGAACTTTGAAATTAACTTGTTACATTTTGTGTCAATGGCATTTTATGACTGACTTACACTCGTCTGAACTTCCTTACATGTACTGGCACTTAAAGTGTGTCATGGAAAATGATGGATTATTACCAATGCAGACCAGTAAAGATTGGTAGTAACATTGCAGGGGGAGACAAGCTTCCTAACTGCAACAGTAAATTGTGCAAGGAAATTAGAACTGCAGTTAGTATGAAGTAGGACAATCTTACTTCACAGAAGCACCTCAGAGTTATTAACAGAAACAGTGTTGGGTTAAAGATGTTTCATAAAGGAATAGGAAAAGATCTTTTTTGATTCACAAGATATGAAGAAAAGCTGCAGAGTGTCTTAAAATAAATGTTAAAACCACTTCTTCATTTGACACTGAAGTTAGGAATACTGGAAATTTTAAATCTGCCCAGGTCTGAATGGAAGATATACTTAGCTCCAGAATATTAGCACAGTTCATTGATGTTCTGTATGTACAGAGCACTTTCTATGTAGATCTGTGTACTGTGCCAATCTTTGTTTAAGTAATATTGACATTTTATAGGAATATTGCCTGAAAACAAATGACTTAACTACCATTTTAATCCTTTAAAACTAACAGAGTACCAGCTAGCAAAGCCGTCTGATAAAAACAGACAGGAGCTACTACTAGGAAGCCTTGCCAAACCTGGATATCCAATGAGAAAGTTTTTCTGGGGTAAGTTCTGGCTAAAATGACTAGAACAGTTATGTCTTTCCAGCTGGACTTACTAGTTTGGACTATTGAGAGAAAGCCCCTTCCCCCCCACTCCCCCCCCTCTTCCTCCCAACCTCCCTCCAACCTCCATCTGTCTTTCTGTCACTAATGGCAACTTTCTAATAGATATTTGAGTTCTTTTCCAGTCCTCACAATTTAACCATTGACAATCTTCTTTTTGAATATGTTTTACAGTGATGTCAAGTTATTGTTTGAAATTAAATAATAGTAGTTACAAATACTGATTTCTTGGCCATTGTTTGATATGTTTAGGCAGCCACTTAGTAGTAGATGTTTAAAGGTGAAAAAARTTTTGTTGTATTTCATTGTTCTTCATAACAAAAGATGTGCATATTCACAGCTTCATTGTTTATGCGGCCCATTTTGCTATGGATTTTACTGAACTTCCATTGCATATATCGTCTAAAAATATGCTCTTGGGTAGAAATATCCTACTGACTAACTAAATGCTTTCTTAATATTTACAGGTAATGCACAGACACTAAAGCATGAGCCAAGAAAGAGTAACATTGATATCTATATCAGGTTGAAGGACTTTTGGCAGAGCTATTACTCTGCTCATTACATGAACTTAGTTGTTCAATCGAAAGGTAATGCCAAGTATAAACTACGTATCTTATTCYTAAATAATATCATGTTTAACTTTGAGCTCGGAATTTGTACTATTTTTTTGTTAGAAAACGACCACTATAGTCACTTAAGTTGTTCTATAAACCTTCTCTGTAACACGAATGTTTAATACACTCATTTAAATTATTATTTTGAAGGAATGTTCAGACTGGAATATGAGTTATCCTGAGAACTCATATTTAAATTAATCTGGGACATGTCAACTCTCTGAGCTCTGTATTTTRATTTTAATTTACTTTATGATGAATGCATATTTTGAGTGAGGGAGAAACTATTTCTGCATGGGTGTTAGCTTCCTTTTCCTAAAATAAATATTTTATTTTCAGTGGYGATTCAGTTGATAGCGTACGGCTASCCCCAGGTTTTTGGGGTTATCTTGACACATTTTTAATCATAGACGTGCTACACTTGAATGCATTAGCTTAAGGTCATATTTGTGAAAGACAGAAATGTGTGGATTGTAGTTCTGTTCCATCTGCTAGAAGCTGAATCATTCCCAAGCAATAGTTGTTCTGTCTCTGAAGCAAATTTATATATATAAGCATTTTCAACATTATTATTATAGATAGAAGGGCTAGAATATAATGTGGTGTAGAAAATCTTGCTACTAATACTTGTTCACAAGTCTTTCTTTTTGTTTTGATTTTTAGAGAGATTTTAAATTTTTTAGGTTTACTTGATTTTCAGTTGTAGAAGAAGTGGGAGGAAATGCCTTTCTGATGGGGAAACGGGTACCAGTGTACTTCTTAAAACTGGAGAAATAAGATAAATTTACTCTTTTAATTACCATTTAGTTCTTTTCATTGTTCATGAATGCTGGTAGCAAGATCTAGTAAATCAACATACCTTGAATCCTGACTTTAAGGTTGCACAATTTATGTGTTTTTTTTTGCCTGAAAATTTTATTGAAAAGGTTTCCTTTTCTTCGTTTTTTTTCTTCACTAGAAACGTTGGACACTTTGGAGAATTGGGTGAGAGAAATTTTTTCACAGATTCCCAATAAGTAAGATTTTTTTTCTCATTTCTCTCATATTTGTAAGTTGTGAAACTATTTCATACATGCAATTTCCACAGAATGTAGTTTTTATGTAAGAGAAGTGTCTTGCATCAGTACATGTTTCAAGTTCTTCAGACAGAGAAAACTAGTTAGAGAAAACAATTTCAGTTAGAGAAAAATGTTGTATTTCTGTGGAAAGTGTTTTTTTTTCTTTTTTTTTTCAAACAAATCTGCTTAACTGTTTGAAGCTTCCTCATGTGTCATGTGAAGGTATTGGTTTAACCACTTGCCCACAACCTTCCCGTAGTGGAGAAAGATGCCTACAGGATGGCTGTATGTCTGTGGAAGCAATCAAAGGAATATTGAGTTTTTTTCCTCTTCAGTCATGTCCAGGTTCTGGCTTGGGTCACATCCTAGTTCTATCAAGATTCTACTTCACAACTGGGCTACTAAGCAGCTGCTTTTGCTGCCATGTGGCCTTTGAGTGCAGTAAATATTGTGCTAACTTCTGTAATTTTTTTTTTTCTTTGAAGTGGCTTGCCAAAACCAAGTTTTGGTCATCTAACAGAACCTTTTGACACACCAGAATTTCACAAGCTTTACCGAGGTGAGAGATCTTGGGTGGTATGTATATTTACCAGAAACTTTTTAGTTTTACCTTTAGGGATGTACTCGTACTACACTGAGTGACTACACMTGATATATCTCTGTTATGCTTTAACATATGAACTTTAACATGAGCTGACTTTTTTTTTTAAATGTTTTTATCAATGCCTCTGCCATACCTTTTAGTCATTTTTACATTTTCTTTATTTCTTCACGCCTCTAGCTTTTCCAGCGTCTTTGATTCAGATATTTGATTCTTTGTTTTTCCTTTATTCTGTAATGAAGGAAACCAATCTAGTAGATCAGGAAAACCAAGCAGAAGGCTTCATTAGTTAAAAAAGTAGGGACCTCTGGCATGCTTTTCCCTTGTAAGCTCCAGATTTTCCAGTGCCCACTCCTTTAAAAAGAAAATTGCTTTCTTCCTTGGTACCTAATTGTACCATCAAGCTGTCTTTGATTCGGTGGAATCCTTATTTGTAAAACTCTGTTGTAATTTTCAGTGTTTGCAGTAATATAGAGGCCAAGCCTCAGCTTTCAAGAGAGCCCTTGCAGATATGTTTTRTGTACAGGTCATGTGCTGAATTACTTCAAGGTTGCTATAGGAACGCTTTTTTTCTTCTTTATCCAAAGCAAGACTGCTTCATCAGTAAACATACCTTTTTACAAGTCTCATACTCCACTTTTGTTCAAGGTTCTCRTAGCTGTTATGATCAATGGATAAGTAGGTCCTCCAATTAGCAGCCTGGTAGGCTCTCCTGTGCATCTTTGCTCACAAACGCTGATTTCTCCTTTATTCTCATCTACAAGCATGGCAATATAGCAAAGTCATTGTCCTTCGCTTCCTCTCTACTGYTTTGGAGAGAAGACTGTCCTTTCTTCTCTACTTATATACGTGCCTGAGAGCAGGTAATTTCAGATTTTGAGTTTTAAGCATACTAGTTTTATAGGTAGGTGATATGATTGTTAGCTCTATTATTCTTCTGTTCAGTTACCATGAACTCAGAGAGTTCCTGTCACCTTTTGCAAGAGCCGGCTTTATTATGCTTAGCTATTCTTCTGTCCCTAAGAGTCATCAGATTGGTCCTGTTTCAGGTCATTGCCGATTTTTTCAGAATGCTAAAAAAGATACGAGGATGGAAACCCAAATTGAGATGRAAATTATGATACTGGCTGTAATAAATGAATCCTGTTCTAGGAGTTGAGAGTGTTATTTTTTGGCATATAGATTGCATTAAATAGCGATTTGACCCCCTCACAGAAAATTGTTTTTGATTTGTAGTCAGTCAGGATTATTGTGACTAGAAGTTTCTATCATTTCGTTATTCAATATGCTACTTTACACAGAAATAAGTATTTGAATGATCGCCTAGAAAAAGGYGGATGCTGGAAGCAGATGACTAGTTTCCTTTAGATCATTTGTAGCTCTTTGAAATGCTCTAAATCACATCGAGGGTGCTGAAGTATCCCTAAATCTTTATATTGAGCTTGAGCTCCTAAGAGCTGTTTTGAATTCATTGTCCCTCTAAAGTCTGTTTCCCCCAAGTTGCTTAGAAGTGCTTGGAGAGTTTCTGCATCCTTTAAAGCTTCATTCTAGTAGAAATGTGAGTGGTTCCAGAATATGAGGATGTATTATAGGATGTATGTACCATATCCTGTGCCAAGCTCCCTGTTTTTCCTATTGAAGCGGAACTGAACTACCTTTACATTTAAGTCTTATCTTTCTGATGTTGATGGCAAGACTAATCATATATCTGTCTTTCCAGTCTTCTCCAACTCCAAAGTGCATGATAACAGATGCTTCTCTTCATGATTGAAGAGCTTACTCAGTTAGCTATGGAAGTTCCTTCTGCCTGCTTTTGTGCTAGTTTTCCATGCTGTGCAGAACTTGTGCAAAATGATTTGTGCGAATTGCAAATCAAAGATCAACATTTTCTTTTAGGTAACCTTTATACACTGGAGATGTTTAGAGATCATTGACATAAAAATGCTTATGGACAATCACTCAAAGGGCAAAAAAATCACCCCAAAGTTCTTCTTGATATTTTTGTATGCATGCTTCACTCCTTTTCCTCAGAATAAGATATGAACATTTAAAAATGCTGGGACTGAGAGGAGTTGAGGGCACAGGATGAAGTTATCCGGTTACACCACTGGGATGGTGCATAAGCTGTCCCTTACTGACAGTGTTTTAGAGGCTCGATGGCACCTTAAGAAATTAGCGTATATATTTTCATGTATTTCCGCATATTGCAAATGCATGTGCATGTGCTTGTTTCTACATCAAAGAAAGTATCTTGCCCACAGATGGTTCTTGGACTTAAAATGACGTATTTCTATTTTYAATGAATAAACTTCTTTTGCAGTTATTCCAGTCAGAAACATCCATCTGTTGCATATCACTTGGGCGCTGCCCCCACAAGAGAGAAATTACAGGTAAAATGATGTTTAGATTATGATTACATTGTTTATGTAATTAACATTAATTTACATTATGTTTTGATTTCATGCTGTTTGTGAAGCAGGAGGTGTAGAGAATCCAAGAAATGATCAAGACCTCATCTCATGCTAATACCACAAAAAAGATTAATTTTAGGAAATAAACTTTGTATTTTTTGATTATTTAAGAATAGTGTACAAAACTACATACAGTATTAGGAATAATATCTCAAAGTTGACATAGCAGATATAACATCTCATAGACATATTATGTTATTTTAATGCTCTTCATTGTACCAGCCATGATCTCATACTTGTGGATCTCTGAGGAAAGATGGGCACTTTACATGTTTAGATTTTGTTGTACACTGTAAGGGACTTGCACTTTTTAACCTTATGTTTCTGTTATCTTTCTGCATTTTGCTATCTTTTACAAAGGGAAAATTTATAGTTAAATTTGTGAAATCTTCTTATGAAAAGAAAATGTCCAGTTATTTATCATTTTATTTTTCTAATTCTTTATCCAGTTATTTTTTTTCCCCTCTTTAAAAATGGTACAATTTTATTTTTTTAGGGTAAAACCACTACACTATATCTCCTGGCTGGTAGGACATGAAGGCAAAGGCAGCATTCTTTATTTTCTTAGAAAAAAGTATGTATTTGTTTCTTTTTAACCTGTGCAGTAGGGAAAATAATACATTTGCCAAGTTTTAAGTAATGTCCATTACTACTTTCAACTTTTATTCTTAGAATATGATTTAAATTATGCAAAAATTCTGTTAAAATTCTATGTTTATTTTTCCAAATACAAGAGTTAAAACAGGAAGACTTTTCTAAGCTTCCTAGGATGTAGTTCTTATATTGCTCTTTTTCTAAGTGAAAAAATATGTATTTAGTATTCTGTTATGCTAAATATATTCTGGAGAAATGCCTGTCTTGCAGTTTTTTAATTTCAGAAAATTTGATGTTGTAGAGAGGATCATCTCTCTGAATTAATCAGTTTGTATTATATTTACTGAACCAAGATAAACTTCAACAATGAGATTGTCTTCAGGGAAATTTTTAAGTGGAATTATTAATACTAGGTTTATCTCTTCRATAGATTTTGGGCTGTTGCATTGTGTGGAGGAAATTCTGAAACGGGTTTTGAACAGAACTCCAGTTACTCCATCTTCAACATTTCTATTACTTTGACTGGTGAAGGTTATGAGCATTTTTATGAGGTATATTAGTTGTAGCTTGGATATCTTGTCATTTTTGCCATGTGCAGATTTCAAAATAAGCTTACATGCTTGCCTCTCAATCTCCAGGTTGTGCATGTTGTATTCCAGTATCTGAGAATGTTGCAGAAAGTAGGTCCAGATAAAAGGTAGTTCTTGTATCCAGTCCTTTATCCTAAGAACAGCGGAAAAAAGGATTAACAGAGATTGTAATTCTAGGTGTGCCTATCCCAGTGTACTTCCAGGTGCATGACCTAAATTTTAAGGAATATCCTGGGGATTTGTCCTCATATCTTCTTTCGGGTACAGCTCTGCCAGCTGAAGAAGATTGTTGTTGCGTCTACTTGCACCCTGGGAGCGGAGTATGTCTTCCATCCTGGCTATATTTATAGTGTTACYGTTCTCTCAGCTTTATCAGCCAAAAGGGAACTAGTTAGCAATCACAGTTTAAAGAAAGGACTTCTAATTTAACCTATTTTGTTTCCATGTGAAAAGAAGAGTTTGGGGCAAGTAGCTTGATACAAAATAAAAGAAGAAAGGGAAATTTCCAATGATTTGAGGTGATCTGAAATCACTACTCTTTTCAACTGCCATAGCTGCATCTGAAAGAGGATGTCCTCTTGTATTTTGATAACATTTTCTGTAAAAGATTCCTTAGTTGGAAACCCAAAGTAATGACCGGAAATTTCATTTCCAAGGAAATTATTAAAGATTTCACTATGTGCCATAGTCTGAGAGAAAGCTCAGGTATTTCCAGTCATGCAGTAGTGTGTAACATGGATCTGGAATTGCAAATTTCATCTCTGCCGTTTAGTAATTTAACTGTTCCTCATCTTGAAAAAGAACAAGGAGGAGAAGGCTGGTTATTTGTTTGAAAAGRCTTCACTATTTTGAGTTTTCAAAACATAAAACATAAACATAAAACATAACATAATATAAACATAAAACATAACAGTATGGTTCTAGTAACCAGCCTTTTTCCCTCATGGCAGCATGAGAACGATAGAAATATGTTACTGTCTGACTCAAATATTTAGTATTCTGCCGATAAGTGTTCTGTTATACATCTCTTAAGAAATGTAGCAGGATGATGCATGCATATTTTTCACTCACAGAATTTGGGAAGAGATTCAGAAGATAGATGAAAATGAATTTTATTTCCAGGATGAGGTACTTGATTCTTTTTCAGTTGTTATGTATAACATAAATATGTATGTATACATGTATAACATTTTTTTTCTCTGTGGGACTTTTGGAATTAGAATTTTGGAATTAGAATTTTGAATTTGAAGAAATATGGAAAAAAGAATAGTTTTTAAACGGAAATAAATTACATTTCCARATTGTTAGCCCTTTTGACTTTTAAAGCTATTGCATTAAAAATTCTCAAAACACGGCTTCTCCATAGGATGTTTTTCCAGGATTTTGGTGGTGGGAAACTTTCAAGAAGATTTGAAGCTCTGTGGGACTCCTTGGCTTTCTGTAAAGGCCCTCTAGCACAGATATTATTGTAGTTGTTGTCGCAAGCTGCTTTGCTGGGAAAGCTTTGGATTTTGACCGTGGAAAAGATGAGAAGATTCAGTGGAGCAGATGGTACCTTCCCCACTGATAACCTCCTCCTTTTATAGTCAGAAATMGAGTGGAAATGGTGGAAGTATTGTTCCAATTAAAGAGCACTAATTGTGAGATGCATACATCATCTGAGCTGCAAGCAATGCTAATTTTCTAGATAGAAATTTGCAGAGCTCATCTCAAAATACTTAATTACAAATAAATACGCATAAAGTAGTTTTCATTTTTGTTCCCAGGGAAAAGATATTCATAGCTAAAAAGAACTCTATATTTCTGTTTAACTACCCTCTCTTCCTTCTCCTTTAAATGTAAATGAGTGTCCTCAGCAGGATCAGGCTGTGGGAAAGCTACCATAGGGGCACAGACTGGGTAAGATTACCAATTTTATTGCTTTGAAAGGGCATTTTGACATATCCAGATGCTTCAGTGCAGTTCATCTGAGTAATGTAGTGTGCAGCATTAATGCGAAGGATAATAGTTGGTAGTAAGAATAATAGTGATTTAACAAAGGAAAGATAGTTTTAGCTATGTGATAAAACTAGACTACATAGCTGAATTAGTGCAGAAATTTTTATGTCTTTTCCTTCTTTTGCCTTGGTCAAAATTGGTCATAAGCTCATACAATCATGTCTTTCTTTTTGTATGGATGTGTCTATATCCAAGTCACCTGCTTTTTTTTGTTATGGAAATATCTTGTAGGAAAGTTTCTGGAGATGATCCTAAGTACCTGGACAGAAAAAGTTCTCGTATTAAAAGATTTTTCTCTTTTGTTTTGTTGCAATGATGRTTGCTTAATATAGTAGAAAACTTCAGTGTACAAAAGCTCCACTTAGCATAAAAATGTAAAATAAATTGATGTTTTGATTGTCAAAGACATGAAATTTTCCATTCATTTTCCAGACCGACCCAATTGATTATATTGAAAATATTTCTGAACACATGCATCTTTTTCACAAGCAGGACTTTCTGACAGGCGATCAACTTCTGTTTGAATACAACCCTGAAGTGAGTAGAATATAAACATTTGAGATAGAAAAAACCCATATATTAAGTGTATGTAAAATTTAAAAATCTTGACTACGTGTTAATTTATTTTTGTGTTTGTGTTTTGAATTTGATTTTTTTTTTTTTATTGCCTATATAGGTCATTAATGACATCCTTGGCCTGCTGTGCCCTCAGAGAGCTAATCTTTGTCTGTTGTCAGCTGCTAATGAGGGAAGATGCCCTCTAAAGGAGAGATGGTTTGAAACACCATACAACGTAGAAGGTAAAATGAGCCTCTGAAGAAAAATGTCTGATCACCTTCATTTGGATATTGGAAAAYCCCACTAGTCAGATTTTATGATTGCTCAATGAGTTTCAGTTGCTAAGCTGAGTGCATGAGAGTTGCGGAGGGCTTGGGTGTTTTTGTGGCAAATCAATGGCATTTTCCTCTGGGTGTATTTTTAGTAGCCTAGTCTCTGAAAAAAAGTCTATGAAAACCTAGACTTACAGACCTGGGTCTTCTACATGAGAGAACAGAAGTTTCCTTTTAAAGAAATAAGAGATGAAAACGTAAGTAGTGCTTGTAGCAGAATTTTATGGTAACTGAGAATGGTAATGCATGATKCTGTTTTAACTTTAAGATAACTTACTTCAAATTGGTTTCAAAACAAATGTTACCACTAWGCTGCATTTACTTCACAGACATTGATGAATACTGGGCTGATGTGTGGGCCTGTGACTTTGAGTTAAATTGGGACTTGCATCTTCCAGAAGAAAACAAATATATAGGTAAGACATCACCCAAACAAGGACATAGAAGAAAGGAGAGWATTTTGGTTTTGAAAGCAGTGGATCTGACATATCTTGGACAGTGGATCTGACATATAAATACCTTTGTGTTATCTTTCTGTGTTAGCCACTGATTTCTCCCTAAAGGCACCTGATTTCCCAAAGATGGAATATCCAGTCAAAATTCTGAATATACCACAGGGATGCATGTGGTACAAGAATGACAAGAAATTCAAGAAACCTAAAGGTAACTACTGTATTAATAAATGCTCAAAGCAAAACCTTTTCTAGGTTTCCTCTGTCACATATTCTTTCACTGCTGGAGCAGGGGGTTGGACTAGATGATCTCTAGAGGTCACTTCCAACATTAATGATGCTGTGATTCAGTACTGGCAATATTTTAGAACTGGATGTTTTTTGTTTCACTGTCTTCCAAAATCCAGGTAGCAGCAGTTGTTACTCTTTTAAAATCCTATTTATTTTCATTATAGACAGCTCTTCCTACCAAATAGGCTTTTTGTAACCCATGTGTCAGGAGATAGATGTCAGTGTTGAGCTACAGCATTACTGTTTTTGAGCCTCATTTATGTCACCCATTGTATCCTTAATTTTTTTAACCTTCTGGGCCCCCACCCCAAAAATCCACACCTATTTCAGCACCAACTTTTATAGATTCCTAGTATGTAAGGTCTTTGAGCTGACTTTGAGGAAAACATTACAGATTTCAGATAGTACCTACAGAAGATCCTATGTTAAAATTAGATAAGATGTGCACTCTTTCCTCTTTATGATGACACAAATCTCCATATTGGATTTAGGAAAAAGAAAAAAGCTTAAATGCTTAACCATCCTTTTCTATCCTGTAATAGAATAATAAAGGTCAGGAAATAACTTATGTTCAAAAAGAAGACTTCAGTRTAATGAGATTGTTTTATTTAATAGTAAAGAAAAGGTCATATCTTTTGTTCTTGTATTATCACATAGATAGTTTTTGTGAAGTTGAGATTGGTTTAKCACCATTTGTATTCTGTGGCTTTGTTAATTCTGTCCTGAGGGGAATAAAAAGGTCTTTTTTTTGTGGGTACCTGAGGTTTCTTGGTCCGTTACAACTGAGTTGTTCCTGTTGAAGTCCAAAGGGCTTTTTTTCTTGCGCGCACGCATGCTCTCTCTCTCTTCCTCCCCACCCCGCCTTTTTTTTTTTTTTTTTCCCCCCTCTCTTTCATCTATCTCAAATCAACCCAATTCTATTCTAACTGGTTATATTGTCTTGAAGTCTACTGTATCAGAAGTGCTTAGATATGATTTATCTTTATTGCTCACTTGTCTTACCTGAGTTATATAACAATGAATGTAACTATGTTAGCCTAATAAGCCATGTTGATTCAAGTGATTTTTTTTTTCCATGTTTTATTTGCTGTGCAAGTGATTGGAGAGATTCAAACTTTCTTTAGGGCAATGCATAACAGTATCTTAAATAGAAGGGACRTTGGAAGATATGTCTGACCAATTATTGATATTCTAATGGCTTCTTTGACTTCTGACTCTTCAACATGAAGCTGCTCCAGGAACTCCGGGAAAAGTTGATTTGCCTGTAAAAATCTAATTAAGAAAGTATGAGGCCATCTCAGGGACAAAGCCACTTGAGAGGAAGAGCCAATTTTGAGCTTGCAAGTCTGATAGTTAAAAAAAAAAAAAAAAAATCAGAAAATGACAGAAATGGTAACAAAAAAAAAAAAAACCCCAAACCCTTCAATCTTTCTTGCCCTCAAACCTTTATCTTTTCTCTGTATACTCAGAAAATGTTATCTGTAATCACCAAGACACAATATAAAATTAAATTATATTGCTTTTTCTCATGTAAAATTTTGTGTAGGCTAATACTTTCTTACTGTTATAAGAGGAGTTCTTGTTGTTTTAGAGTCTGTTTTATTGCTTTTGACATAAGAGTAATATGAACACCKGTAAAGATAATGGAAACAGATTAAGATGTCTGTCCTTAGTAATTTACAAGCTGAATACATAGTGTTTTCACCAAAAGAGTAGCTTCTTCAGTTCCYAAATGCAAAGTGACTACAATTCAAAGTTCCTTCAGATGTAAATGCAGTTCAAAGAACACAGGTTGCCCAAAACAGAACAGTCTAGAGGAAAAATATTTGCAAACTTGAATTGAAGCTGACAATGTTTCCGCAGTTTTTCTTTGTTTTTCTTTTTGTTGTTGTTTTCTTTCTCCACAGCTTATGTACATTTCCACCTGATTTCTTCACAGGTACAACAGTCTGCCAAGAGGTAAGAATATTTTTCTGTAATCTATCTTTCAAACCATGTCAGAAAATTTATTCTACAAGGAAGTAATACCAATTAAAATGTCCAGCACAGAATAGAATAAAGACTGTCTTTTTTTCATTTAATTTTCTTTGTAGTTCAGCAGTTATCTTTTCAGGAAGTGTGGCATGGAGTGTTTTTGCCAGAGAAAGGAAAAATAAACTGGGTATTAGTGCAGTTACTAATGCGAGTGTGTGTGTGTGTGTATATATACATATATACACATATACATATGTGTACATATGTATGTATACATATATACACACACACACACATATATGTGTATATATACACACACACGTGTATATATATACATACGTATATATGTGTGTGTGTGTATATATATATATATATATATACACACACACACACACACACATATATATAAAACCTTATAGTAATCACTGTAATTTGCCAGAACAGAAAGCTCAGCAGAGACTCCACTGCAATGGGCCATCAACTGTGGGCAGCACATACAGCACACTGAAAGATGTCCTGCGTGTGTGGAAGAACTTGAGACAGAGCAGCAATGGACTGTGTGTAATTGCATAGTCTTCTGCTTGAAACTCCATAAATACATTCCATCCCGTTGACCTTTGATCTAGACTGACTGTTGTAACAAAATGTCTAGTAGTTTTATTACAATATCATTAAGGAGCTGCGTAAAAGGGCAGAGCTATTTTTGTGGAAATATCTTTGTATACCTATTTTTCAGTCAGCATTAGCAATGTAGGTTTTGAAATGTTAATAGAAGTGTTTGATCCTAATGTTCTGGAGCAATTTTTAGTCCTGAAGAAAGACTCCTTAAAATGATGGAACACATTTATACCTATTGTGTCTCCAAGACAGCCACTTCCATTTCAGATAAGGATATGAAAATTCCAAAGGCCCTCTAAGGAGTTACCTTTAACATATTTTCTCATTACTAGCATTTAACAAACATTTTACTTGGAATGAATCTAGTCCTTAAAAATTAATTTTATTCAAGCTAGATGTTACCCTCTTGTACTTCTAGAGAATGGTATGGATTATTATACTTTGTAGTGCTAATAAGCTCTTTTTCATTTCATCAGCTCTACAGAACTTTTAAGGTTAATGCCAGAAATCCTGGAAGACATTCTTGCATGCCCTTTGAGTGAAAAACCTAATTCATAACTAGGTGTTTTAAACTTTTAGCCTGAACAGTTCTTATTCTTAAAACTATTTTCCTGAATGTTTGTTTCTTTTCTATGTTGATTCCCACTCTCGCTTCCTTTTTTATTCATGAAGTATGGTGCTTCTAGAGATTTTTGTTAGCATCCTCTCTCTGAATCTCTCAGAACCAGCATATGGAGCTGATATTGCTAAACTGAAATACAAACTAGTGGCTGGAGAGCATGGTTTGATCATTAGAGTGAAAGGATTCAATCATAAACTACCTGTAAGTACCAAGCAGACATTCTTTGTAGCAGTATGAAACAAATAAAATGCTGAAGATTATTTTCTAAATTAGCCAGAATCCTGAAATACTTAGGTTTGTGTTGTAGTTCATTAATTCATATTTTCACATGGTTTTAAAGACTGTGGACAAGTAATGGTTTGTGTACAATAGCCATGTACATTTTCTGCTGAGTTCCTCAAGACATGTAAGGTTAGTGAGGGTAAAGCTTATGCTTTAAGATGGACATTGTAAAATGTGAATTACAACAAGAATGAGTGTGGAGTAAAGTATGCTAAATACAAAAGAAATGGTCTTTGACTAAGTCACTGTTATTTGCATGCMGTAAGAAAGAAAATCAAAACTGTTTAAAATACTAATATCTGCTGTGAAATCTATAATGCAACTTTCCTTAATATAAATCAGACTTTAACTTCTGCATATTACATGTAAGCTTCCCATGGCTCCCTTTAATGGAAGTGGTCTAGAAACACTAGGGACTAAACGTGACCAGGGGAGGTATGTGTGCAGGATGCTGACACTTGCAAGAGGGAGAAAGCTGGGAGGAGTAACGAGGCACACAGAAACAAGCTGGGACAAGTCAGTGTTTGCTCCTGCCTGTTTCCACTTAGTACAGCTGCTGTTAAAAAGTGCTCTTCTAATAGCTTTTCTTTTCCACATTATGGGATATGCAGTAGTTGCTGTAGATGCATCTTTTTTTAACTATCTGACCTCCTTTATCTACAAAAAGTGCCTTTTATGCAAAAGGAGAGGTTACTGATGTGACTGCTGAGGAACTATTTTCTGTTAGATGAGTAAAATAAAGATATATGTGCAAGACGGGTAAGTTTTTGTTAGTGTAGGAGCTTAGCTCTGGCTGCTTAATGCAGACATTTATAAAGGATCTCAGCTAAAGACTAATAGCCTTATGTTATCTGTGAACTTCTGGACCTATGAAGATTTTATTTATTTATTTATTTTTACCAAAGCTGTTCATCTCGGTACCAAAATGGAGTTTTAATCTCAATCCTCAAATTGTTGTAGCTAATTTTCAAAAGCTTTTCAATTCAGAAGATTTTGCTGTCGGGGTTCATCCCATCAGTATGATTAGACTGTTTCTCCCTTTGGGGACTTTGTTTTCAAGTAAATAACTTTCATTGTCATTGCTGACATAATAAATGACTAATTAATGTATTTTATATTAAAAGATAGATATCTAGTTTTAAGACCTCTTGTTAAAAAATTTCATTTTGGCAAAATTTTTATCTGATTGATGTGCAGTGACTGTGATATGTCCTATTAATTGATGATTTATTTTTTAAAATTGTTTACAATTAATTTATTTATYCAAGATCTTATTGTATTTTTATATATAGTATTTTATATATATTTTATATGTAATTAATTAGATAATAGGAGAAACTGTATACAGGTTCAAGTGTGTATTTTTTGAAGTTCTTTTCTTTCATGCTTTATTGATTTGAAAAGAACCAAGTCCTCTTCCTCCTAACAGTACAAATGACTACGAAATGCTATTTCCTTTACAGTTACTGCTTCAGCTCATCATTGACCATGTGTCTGAGTTCAGTTTTACTCCAGCCATTTTTGAGATGATTAAAGAGGAGTTAAAAAAGACCTATTTCAATATGCTCATCAAACCAGAGGTGCTAGCCAAGTGAGTCTGTGGGACAGGTTTAATTTTAGAGTATAGTAGTAAAGAAAGCAATTGTTTTTGTTTTTCCTGTGTTGTCATAGCAGCATATTGTAGCAGCTCAAGAAGTTGCTCGTCTTTCTATCTTAAATTACCATACAGTCCTTTGCATAGTCTTGTTGCATGTAGTGAATGCCAGCACAATAATTATACGTGAACACWATTTTCAGATTGTCAAATATTTTTGATTTATACTAAATAGTTAGTATTAATGATGAATTTGAAAAGCTGACATGAATTAATATATGAAAATGGTTGTCATGTATATTTTCCTCRTAGTTCTTTGCCTTCTTTTCTGTCAGGAACTTCTGTATATACCCACTGTAAGGTTGAAACTTCTTATTACAAGATTCTCAAATCTTCTGARAAAGAGTCAGCTGGGATGGTTCTTCTCCCAGCACCCCAGCCCAGCTGCCCTTTGGTTCCTTCTAATCGCCAGTGGGCTCAGATCACAAACACTGTACTCTCTTTCCYGATCCGTCCCCTCATTCTCTCTGGAAGAAACTTTGTTTATAGTTTGATCATGTTTACACAGCTCTTGTTCAGTTGCTTTTCTTTTTAAAAAATATGGTTAAAAAGAGAATAGGAGATACTTCAGGCCTGAAAAGCACAATGTTGGTTTTGTTTACTGTTTTACCTGAAACTAAAAGGCATCTGTACACTTGCAAATTAAGGCTTCTATTTCTGCAGTCTTTCATCATGAAATGTAAGCAGTTTAAAGCATCAGTGACAAGAAGTCCTGGTATCATTCTGATCTGCTCCTATGTATAGGATTATAGGCTGCTATATAGGTATTCCAAACTACCTAAGTCCCTCAGGGAAGGCAGGACCTTTGCATCAAATAATTGTATACATCACTATTAAGTTAGCTTGCTAAATTTTCCATGGTATGTTGCAAAGCCAATCTAACAAAAAAGGCAATCCTGTGCTAAATGTCATCTTTCGAAATAAAACATATTGGGAGGTGCATAATGGTTATCTTTTGTCAAATCACTTTTACTCAGTTCAATTTCTCAGCAATATGTGCTGTCTTTCTTTCTAAACRATTGGTTCTTTGGTGTCAAATATTTCTGCAATGACACTGATTTTTGTGCTAATATGCTTTTCATTGCAGTGAGACCTTCCAAGATGTTGTAGTCTAAATCTCTTCTACTGCTTGACACATTTGAAAAGTGCATTTCTGAATTAAAATGGATTATACTTTGTTTTGTAGAGACCTACATCATGTAATTTTGGAGCATGGCAAGTGGTCTGTGATAGACAAGTACAGGAGATTAATGAAGGGACTTTCTGCAGAGTCTTTATTATCCTTTGTTAAGGCTTTCAAATCACAGCTATTTGTGGAGGGTTTAGCACAAGGAAATCTAACTTGTCAAGTAAGTATTAAGCTCATCAGTGAAAGTTTTGGCTTTGTCCTTTTACTTTATTTTGTAAAATAACTGTGTTTTTAAAACTACTGCTAGTAATTTGACAGCTTTATTTTTTACTAGTATTTTGGCAGATCCAGGTGATGTGAGAGTGCCAATGTAGTCTAGAGTACATTGCTGTTTTAGTTTTGTATTGTTTAAACACAAGTTGTTTTTTTATACTTAAAATGTGGTTTCTGTGGTGTGTTTAAGAATCGGAGATTGTTTACTCTGTATTCTGCTAGTCAATATTGTTCTAACTGTGCAACTATTGATTTTTTTTTTTTGCTTAATTTGTGGTGTAAATGCAGCCAAGTGATAGGGTTGACTGCAACAATTGAGCGTAACCATTCTGTTATCGTCCTCAAAATTCATCTGTCTGCCTACCAGCCATAAATGATAGCTAGCAATCTGATATAGACTGAAGGTGTTTGCTTTTAAAAAGCCAGTCATAGCAAGGTTTTGCCCCAGATAGGCTTGTACAGTACTGCCTCTGTTTCTCACTAGACGTGCAAGCTTGCTGATTTTTACAAGAAAACAGTCTTGTGGAAACTTGCCAAAATGTTTTATTAGAGCTAGATGTTCTGGTAATTTCAGAGGTATTCTCATGGTATGCTGACTGAAGGTGTCATAGAGGTAAGATGTGTTTTAWGCTGTTTATAATGCAGCATTGCACTTACTGTGAGATCAGCTACSTCCTTCTGCTGTTCTGTTGTTCTTATTTGCTGCCTTTCCCTCAACTGGAGCTGGACTTCTTTTCCAAACATTGAATGACCGAATGAAAGATAGGGCACTCCTCTAAGATTCTTGTATCTTATGTGTTATCTGCTTAAAGTGTATTACACCATCTGAATCTTCCATGGATTCTTTTGTTGTTCACATCCTGCTCGTGAAAAAGGCTACAGAATCCCAAGCAAGAAATAATATTGGTGAGCTTTTTCCTTCTGCAATATAGAATACAGCAGACCGTTTTGGCACCTTTGAGACACTTGGAATGTGGCAAATCACGGGGTACAAGAGTACTGGAATAGTGTGACAAAGCCGGATAATCTGTCCCTTTCTTTCCAAAAAATATATCTTCTGCTTTTCTATGCTCTTAAATTTAAGCTAAGTTTATACTTTCTTTCCTAGGAAGCAAAGSATTTCCTGAGTTACATTGTGGCGTGAGTATTTGTTTGATTGCTGTACAGTTCTGTTTCAGTCATTCTTTTCTGGTAAAGGGAGTTTTCTAGGGTGGGAAAAATACTGAAAGTGTGATAGAAACTTTATATATTAACATGATATATTCTTAAATGCTTTAAAGGAATTTCAATTTTCTTCACATTAAATAGGAAGTAGTTTTAAGGGGAGGGGGAGTGATGCTGAGCTGTTGACAACATCTGGATTGTGAAGCCTTACTCTCTGTATTTTGCTTAAGATGTGAGCATGTGTTTGACGTGTTGCTGGGTTTTTTTTTTCATTTCAGGAAGCTCAAGTTTGCTCCTCTTGCCCATTCCTGCCCTGTTCAGTTTCGAGTGGTKGATTTGCCAAATGCACACCTGCTCTGTAAGGTGAAAACGCTTAACAAAAATGATGCGAACTCTGAAGTGACAGTTTATTACCAGGTAATGTACTAGAGATTTGCACATGATCATAATTTGCCCATAATGGTTTATATTAGCAATTTGTCGTGCAGTTGCAATGTGAAGAGCTATCAACACAGAGCCATTAAAAAGCAGAACCTGCCCATGAGCTCGCTGTGCAGGGAAAGTGAATTGAATTATACTGATTCTGTAAGCACAAGAGTGCACAAGAGCTATTCTTTTGAGACCTCCTGAAATCCTTGATGAAACTACAGCCTGTATTATTTTGAGTATGCATCTTCTGCTTTTCCTTATGTCATATACTGCAGTCTTTGTATTGGCACCTTTCTTATTTTTCTTGCCATCAAGTTTTTCCTAATTCTACTTAGCCTTTCCGCTCTTGCAGTGGATCTGAAATGAAATGAAAGCAAATGAAATAATTTGCTTTCTCCATTGTTTTGGAGGCACTTCTCTCCCCGCCCCCGCCAAGGTGATAACTTACTGAATGGTTAATTCTGAAGACCATCCAGGCTGGTTTTGTTTTTCTTTTAGGCTGGGGCAAGGAGTATAAGAGAATGTGTTCTTATGGAGTTGCTCGTGGTAAGTTTTGACCTTTGCTATGAAATCTCGAGTGCTTACTGGGGTTTGTATAGGCTGCATCTATCTTTCATGCAGTGTCTGGTGCTTGGAAAAATAATGGTTAATATTAACATAAGGCCATAACTCCACAGATATGTGTATATATATTTTTTTCCTACTACCACTTTTTTAGTATAAGTACTTGTGATTATACCGGTACTTCAGATAATGTGCTATTTCACTTAAGAACAAAGAAATCAATTCATTATAAAATATAAGTGTCTGTAAAGGTAAATCTCCTGTCTTATGTGTTGCAGAACACAGATTTTTCCCTGTGTTATTTTCTTCTTAGAACATTGAACACAGGAGGATTTGTGCATTCTTTCTTGATTTGTCCATGCTTATCTTTTGGGTATGAAGCAGTGTGGGTATGGTGGCATATGTACTGTTGTATGCAGGAGTACATTTTTGGCTAAATTTGTGCTGTATTTCAGACCCATATGGAGGAGCCTTGTTTCAATTTCCTGCGAACTAAAGAAACACTTGGGTAAGCTCATTGTCAGGAGGTATAGCTCCTTTCATCTGTTTCTTCCTCAGTGATTAGTCCCATATACCTTGTTGCTATGGAAACTGTTTCTGTGTGTAGTTCTCTGAATAGCATGGCTGAAAGTACAGAGTAATACACTCCAAACACACACACCGCATCCGCACAGGGTATTTCTGTCACAGCTGCTTGATTAATTTATCTAGGTCTACAGATGGGTCCATTTCCTACCTTTGGTTGCACATAAGTAGAGCCTGGGGTGGTTTCCTCGCTGTATRTATTTGCATTATGCACAGTCTGAATGTAGGCCAGTCTTTGTATTTTAAATATTTTTCCTTTTCTAATTTAGTTGCTTTGGTACCCTGTATATTACAGTTACAAAAACAAACCTTCAATAACTGAYAACATGCCTGAGGAGAGAGAGTTGTATATTGTGGATGTCCACATAAGCTGCAGTGTTTAAGATATCAATGTTGTTGATCGAATTTGGTTTCTAAATCAGACTTAAGAATGTAACAGCCCCAACCAGTCTGTGCATTTTAACCTGCAAGGAGTATGCCGTGGCTCAGCTGTGGTATTCATTGACTGTAAATGCCTAAAACAAAGTTTCACCTGAGTCGGTGGGAGCCCAACTTGAACCATTTGTGTTCCATTTCATATTTTCTTACATTAAATTTACAGGAATTCTCGGAAAATCATTGTCTAGTCTGTTTATAAAATGTTATAACAAAGTTGCAAAAGTGATTAGCTGGATTTAGAAAAGGCAATGCCCCTTGGCATTTAAATTTGTGTTTGTTAGCTTCCCAGGAATCTCTGATAATGGCATCCTTACTGCAACTTTGGGTCTGAGTGTTGGTACTATTTTGATTTTGTTGTTATGGCTTATGGACACGAAGTGTTTTGTGCTCATGGAATTTTTCCTCCTCCTGTCTTTCATATAAGCTACCATGTGTACCCTGCCTGCAGAAATAATTCTGGAATCATTGGATTCTCCATTACTGTAACAACACAAGCAACAAAAAATAAGTAAGTCTTACTAATTTAAGTTCCTAAGAATGGTTTGACTTACAGTGTTTCCAGCTTTGAGGTTTAGAGCTAGTACGTGCAGATCTGCACATGCCTGGATTTGGTATTTGTTACTGGAATTCATAGAATTTGTTTTTCAGTCTTTAGAAGTGAAAATGGTGCCTGTGCTTCAATGTGTTTTGTAATGGTAACATTGAATAGGTTGTTAGCGCCTTTCCTTTTTTTCCATTTTGTAAACAAATGCTCTTTTTTGCAAGACCATTATCCTTATTTTTTTTTGTTTGTCTCTATTTTTAAAGASTATAATATTGACAATAGAGAACAGATCTGTGTGAATAACCCAACTTCCCAACACATCTATTTTGAAATTATTAAGCTATTGATATATTTTTCAGACTTCTTATTTTATTTTAGCACTGTTAATACCTAAGTAACTTTGTATGTTTCTTTTGGGGTGATGATACTTCTCTTTGCTTTGAAGACTGCTACTGTTTCACATGAAGAAGAGTTTCACATGACTGTCTGAATAGAAGAGCAGTAGATAAACTTCAGAATCTTTTTCACTGACAGCGATTGATGTTGCTATGGTTAAAAATGCTGTGTGGACAGAGTGACTTTACTAGATATTGTCTTTAAGGCACCTTTGAGAAGGGTGCTCCAAAAGAACCATAGAAGACAGCTGAGAGGAAGAGGAGAGCCAGGCACAGGCATAGAAGTGGTAATGCAACACTTAATTGCAGCCTAGAGATAAAGGTTTTTGATCGGGTGTTGCCTGAAGAGGCTTAGAACTGTGAGAATTTTCCTGTTGTTAACTGAAGGAATGCAGAAAACCCCAGTTTGATATAGGAGAATTTTGAATATGAAAGGTAAATGCGTTGTCTTTAGTTTCCTTTCTTCTTTTGTCATCTTTCAGTTCTGAATTTGTTGACAAGAAAATAGAAGAATTTCTTTTGCACTTTGAGGAAAAATTGAAGCTTTTAACTGAAGATACATTCCGTGCTCAGGTAATTGGAAAGAAGCAGCCTAGAATACCTCCAAGGAGTGGCAGTGTTTGTTTTTGATGTATTGAAAAACAAAGCAGGCAGCYTGCTGGGAGAAGAAAGGAAAGTGATACAGTTTCTGTCCCCGTTTTTGTTTTGTGACCTTAGCTGGGCAGCAGAGAAGCAGTTTTTGAGACTTGTCTCGTAACTGAGTAGAGGATATTTCTTTCTTTTATGAATTTCAATGCTGCCTTTCCTACAGTGCAAAGCAGTATTGGGTTCAGAGGGTATGTTCTGCTTGTTTAGGTATCTCAACAGATGACAGTGAATTGGGATTTAAGACCGTTGCCACAGCTTATGACACCATTCATTGCAGTAAACGTTACTGCTGATTGTTTTTAATACATCTGACCTGCAGTCTAACTCGTACTTCTTTTCCAGGGTCCTTGGCTTTGTAGGAGGAGTTAATATTTATTAATACTCTGTAGGAGTAATTAAATAATTAAATAATTAAAAATTTATTAATTAATATTTATTAATACTCTGTAGGAGTATTAATAAAAATAAATTTTTACAGGTCAGTGCCCTGATCAATATTAAAGAATGTGAAGATTGTTTTCTTGGCGAAGAAGTGGACAGAAATTGGAATGAAGTGATGAGTCAGCAATATCTTTTTGACAGACTTGCCTGTGAGGTAAGGAATTTAATTTGAAATTAACTCAGTCACATTCTTACATCTTATTAGCCCTATAGTTTTAAAAAGCATAGTGAAATTCTGATGCATTTAAATTAGAGATAACTTCCTATTGTCTTCAGAGGGACCCTTATGTTATCTGAATAAATACACTTTTTGAATAAAAATCATATTATTTCAATAAGTGGCTGAAACAAAATAGAATGATTAATCACATTTTAAAAAGAATAAGCATATAAACCGTTCTTCTGAGTGGGTCCTTCAGGTTTTGAAGGCAGTGTATTTTTGTTGTTTGTTCTTCAAAATGAATGGTGTCTATTCTCAGAATTGGAGGAAACTCAATTTAGTTCACTTTATGAGCACTGGCTCTGGCATTATGCTTATGTTTGGTGCCGGAGTTCATAAATTTGAGAAAATCAGGCTTGCAAAGGTGTTTAAATTGGCCCTTAATATTACTAATCAGTTTCTTTCTAAAATATTAGTTCAGTATTTGAGAACTCATGAAATGTACTTTTGTGGATTTAGATTGAAGCATTAAAATCATTTACAAAAGCAGACCTGGTTGAATGGCTCCAGACTCTCAGAGGAAATTATAGAAAGATACTGAGTATACATGTAAGTAAATCTGTAGCCAGTACTCTGTTTGAATATTTTCCTATACATCTTYCCTAAAAAGTAGTAATAATAATTTGTGTGAGTAAATTCCAGGTCCTCACCCTTTCTTCCTACCCATGTCCTGTAACCTACGCATTAAGTGAACTCCTATGAAAAATGTACAAAACTTTAGAATTCAGAAATGCAACAGTTGAATGCTGCAGTAAAAATATCCCTGACACTGCCAGCCTCTGAACTGCCACTGCTTGTACTTAAAAACATAACTTAGGAACACTAAGTTGTATGRAATTCTGTAGTAGTATTCATCCTGTAGTTTTCAACAATGGGAACAATCTCATCAGTTTGAGTCATCTGGATTGTATGTTAGGCATATAGTTAAGCCGCTTCTGTCATGAGCGGAGAGAGACTCAGCCAGAGACAACTACTTTCATTTTCTGATGTGGAAAATGAAATACTACCTGAAAATATGTCCACTGAAAAGAAAGGGAGCYTAGGCTACTAAATGTGAATTCTGAGTCCTAATGAATTTGAGTCATGTTTTACTAAACTGTTTTATAAAATATATTTAAAGCTTATTTTGGATTTTTTTACTATCCTCTTATTGTTTTTATGGTCTTTGAATTTCCAGGTTGTTGGGTATGGCGAGCAGGAACAGGACTCAGAGTTTGCAGCTGTCTTAGATGTGCAGAATGCAGTGCTTGGTGAACTCCCTCAGCTAACTTTCTTACCTCCTTCCTCTTACATGAAAAATACAGCCTTCATCAGACACATCAGTGATTTCACATTAACCCTGAACCTTCTCCCTTACCATAAAATATTAAAATGAGTTTTAGCTCTTCTTCTGTGCCCTGCAGTCTTGTTTAAGTAATTTACAATTTGAGGACGTACCAGGTCATTTACATTCGGTAATGGCATTTGTATTGTCTGTGAATTTGGGTAAGTTCATTCTTCATTGTTGTAAAGATTAAGGAGTAGAGGAATGAAATGTATGTAATTCTGTGATGTCCAGTATGGCTCCACATGGAACYAGATCTGCTTTGGAGGTGCACGAACTGTTTGTCCATATAATCAACATAACCAATTATCAGTTATTATAAAGTATTTTTAATACCGTTTCTGTGCATTCTGTAGTGAAATAACAAAGCGTGATTAAGAAAAAGAGAACAAATATAAGAAATGATTAATCTGATGCTCAGAACTGTCATTCTAGATAAGACTAACATCCATCTACCCCATCTCCTATCAGAGAACAGGTAATGAGTGCTTAGGAAAGAGTTCAAGAACAGTGAGTATATGGAGTAGCCTCGTTTTACTGTGTGCACAAATCTCAAATGTTTAGTTTAGATGCTTTATGAACCAGAAGTTACATCTGAAATGTTTCCTAACYAGAGAGAGACCTCTTCTTTTTGAATTTGAGTTACTCCCTTAAAAAATATTGTATGCAGCTAACCCTCACAAGATATTGTTGCAGTGGGTTCCACAGTTGATGTATTCTGTGAAAATGGATGTGTTTATGTGTACTTTGAACTTGCTACCTGAGCAAATACTATTGCATGCCTCTAAGTTCTTGTATTGTGAGGAATGGCAAAAAATTATTCTCTAGTGCTTTCTTTGCATAGTGATGATTTAAACTTTATGTACTGTATAGCCTCCCAGTTTTTTTTTTCTGTGCTGAAGCCTTGGAAAAATTTAAAAAGTCTCTAGATTGTTTTTGTTTTCCTTCTCAGTATCCTTTGTAGTTCATCAGGCCTTTTATGAGATGGGAAGATAAAAGTTGCATGCAAAATTAGAATACATTTCACCATCAGTTTCCTATACAGGAACATCGTAATAGATTCTGCTAACCTCACCTACTCTTTATTGGGCTTTCAACTTCTGATGTGTTGTATAAATATGTGTTGTGTAAATTTCCRGTCTATTCTGTCAGCTTGTCATTATTTCTGGAGGTCTAAAACTTGTATTAGCCTTTTTAAGAAAATTGCTGTCATCAAACTCATGCATTACATTCCATGTATGTATTGCTTATCTTCAAAGCATTATCGTGAGGTGTTCTCTTAGTTTAGGTCTTAGTTATGCCTGTGCCTTATTGGCAAACTATATTCAGAGTTTTTTTCTCTCTTTTTTTTTTTTTTTGTTTGATTGTAATGTTTGATTGTAAGACTTTCTCTTATTCTTTAAGTATAATGGTTTAAATTAAATGAATATATATTTGTTCAGCTTAGTTGCCCTGAATGAATATATGCATAAATGCTCCAGTTGGAACTAATTAATTTCTGAACTAGAAGACTCAGCAGATAAAAACCCCTGAAYTGGGTCATTTACAATATCTGTTAGTTGGCCAAGAACTGTGACTATAAACCTCTGCTTTTCCACCCAAACGTGCAGCCTTTAGGGCTACAGAAATGAAGCAAGGTGCAGGTAAGGAAAGAATTTATCAAGTCGCCCTTCTGTTTGCTGTAATTTTATATAATCTATCGACTTTGCTAGGGGTAAGGTCTGTCAAAATATCAGGGAGATTTGCTTCTTACGTTATCAGAACTTCTGGCTTATTTATTAGGATGGCTGCCTTGTCATGGCAATGTTTGCAGTGGTTTCCTTAGTAGTGAGGACTGTGCTTGACCGTGGCAGCTACTGTGAACTCAGAGCTGCACATTCGTGTTTAGCTGYGCAGGATCTGGTTCCGGGCAACTTGTGTCTCTGTCGGGGAGCCTGTGGCCATGGCTCCTACAAGTGAAAGGAAATGCTGTGGCTCAGTGGTTGTCTCAGAGGTTCGTCTCCTGACCGAGGAGCAACAAGCCCGGTAACCGATCTGCTAGGTAAGTCTCTGTCACCCCTATGCTGAAGAATGTCAACCCCATTTTCTTTGACAGCAACTTGAAAATGTTAATGTGAAGGCACAAATCTGTGCTTCTTTGTGCTTTGACTAGGAAGACTAATGCATGTCTGTCCTCCAGCTCCACCACCACTGTAGCAAATTAGTGTTTATTCTTTATGTGCAAGAGCTTAGACAGGTCTGCCTTTAGCCTTGGACAAGCTGGCACAGAACTCGAGAGCTCTGGTTTACCCCACATTTACCCWTTTTCACTTTATGTGATGGCTTGGATATGCTTGCTGCTAGAAGATTCTCAGCGGCAGGGAATGCTCAGAGGTCCCGTTCTTCTGCAGTGTGAACCAGGTGTAGCTTCACAGTTTGGGTCTAACTAACATTGGCTTACTGTGGTGACTGTTACTTTTTCTACCTCAACCAAGTCCCCTGGTAGCCAGCTTATGAGTCAGCAGCAGGAGGGGCTGGTGGTTTTTTTCCAAGTGACCAAAGTGACCAGAAAGGTCCTTGATAAGTGACCCAAGTTCCGTGGCGACCTCTAAATGCCATCTTCAAAAACCTGGCACCCAGTATATTGCAATGCTTCTGTGGTCACCTCTAATGGCAGCTACTTTTCAGTATATTTGCGATGGTCCCCCTTTTATTTTCATAACCTGGATTCTGTGCCAGCCAGCAACACACTTGTTTTCTCTGCTTCCCCTCACCCAACTGCCTAATAGTTTTTCTTTAAGTCTCAATGTCAGTGGTTGTCTCCTGTTAACAAGCCCTATTCTTTCAGAAGGAAAAAGAACTCCCCAAACTTCTTCGAGGCGCACGCTGCCACAGTCATTGAAATGACCCTTTGCAAATTACTTCTGGAAGGCACAGCTGCACATTGGAGCCCCAGTTTTGTCATCAGGATATTCCACACCCAAGTTGAGTGCTGCTGGAAGCGACTTGGGTAAGCTGGGCTCTAGCCATGCCTTCCTCAACCAGTGTGCTGTTCCCGGGGCAGCCGAGGTCAGTGCAGACTCTTACACTGTGTTCCTGCCGTATGGCTACAGTGTTTTGGAAGAGAGGCCAGCAGGGCTTGCAAAGTGTGTGTCTGCATGCCTGGTGTGGTGAACTAGTCACAGGCCACCCAGCATGATAATGCACAGTTGGATGATAATGAATCTAAAAGGTGACCCTCGCTATGAGTTGAAATTAGACATATAAAATTCACTTACACACATGTATGACTGCAAAGAGAGAAGGTAGCTGGTGTCATGACTGTGTTTGTTAAATGTGCATCAACTGTGTGTGGTGGTGGGGAGGGGAGATAGTTTATAAAGAAAGATCTACCCCTCCTATGCATGTCAGGAAATTATCCCTCCTGAGGTCATGCTATCTTTGTTTCCCATCTATGATTTTATTTTTACAACAGACAGGGAGGAGGGAGCTAGCTAACTGCACTATTAGTACTTGCTTAAAAATTGGCAATTTTAACATTGACTTTTTAACGTTACTCATTGTACTGTCTAGTAAATCAAATCTTTTTTTGGCTTAATTTCTATAAAAGAACTGGACTGTTATTATGTGAAAAAAGTTAAGTGTGCCTGTTGTGATTCCAAGAATAGCAGCGGACCTGTTCTTTTTGGGGGTGACAAAAGGGTGCATATTTGTCTGGAACACCTGTTTTTCAGCATCAGTAAATGTGGTTCACCAAAAGCCGTTTAAAAGAAAATAAGTAGTTTGCCAAGTATTGGTTAAATATCCTGACATACTGTAGGATTAAAAATGGTACCATTTGATAGTATGTATCATGTCATTTTGAGACAAAAATGTTCTCACAGTGGTTAAGGACCAATGTAATTGTAATGCTGGAGTTTTTCCTTGCTTATTCCTTTTAGTTACATCATAGCTCTTATTGTGCAGCACAGATAAATACAGGGAACCAGGGGCTATTGCCCTTGTGATGTGAAGATGATGTAAAGCTAAGTGGCAGAGGAAGATGATTCAGAAGAGATTAGTCTGTTCATTTGCATGTTGAATATGAAATATTGCAGTGTTGCCATTGTGATGCTGCAGATGCTGAATACAGATTGAAACTGTAAAGGGGCGCAGCACAGAAACACACCCCAATCCTGTTTTGGCTTTGGACAATCACAAGAGAAGGAAACCTAAAATATGATAGWGTGTGAGCTCTAGGACAGCATTAAAGTACTATAAAGCAATTAGTTCAGTAGGCCCAGATAAAAAAAATTTAATCTTTCTATAGAAACAGTGCACTGTTTTACAAATGTATTCATTTGGTTTYCAGTAATCCTTATTTATGTAAGTACAGCAAATGTTACAGAGAGCAGATCCCTCCCCCGCCCGCCCTAGTCCTTTTATCCGTAACATAAAAACTGAAACACAAAAGGCACCAAGCAAGAACATACTCTAACAGAACTTCAATATGACAAGACAGAGATCAGAAATGATTACAATGTTAAATATCACCCTAACAATCTGAACCGTTATTTAAAATAATTAATTTCTTAAAAAACAAATTTGGTGTTTGACTTTTCAGTAGTTATAAATCTGTAAAGTTTGAAATCAACACTGCACATTGAATTCATTTACAATGTTTGAAAAAAAACCTGCAACCTTTTATACATGATTTTTACAGGGGTATATGTGTGTGCGTGTGTGTCTTTTAAAAAAGTATCAAAAGTGTAGAACTTTCAAATATATTTACATTCTTCTGTTAGTTACAGTATTATCACATACAGCCTTTTCTCATTTTTTTTCTCTCATGCACACAGTGCATGGATTCTTACAAGAAACAGAGCTTTATACCTTAAAACAATAACTGGTATCTCAATCACTTTTTTCACTGCCTTAAAATCTAAAATTTGAATAGAAGGATGCTTGATTATTTATCTATTGCCTATATAGGTCTTGGAGTGAATAATTTGAGGGTATGTATTATTGCCATAATGCATACTATGTAGCTCTTTAGATACTGTTCCTTATTTTAGTGAGGAATCAGTTTCTATCTCTCATTACAGTGTGACTTCTGCCTTTAAAAAAGACCTTGCGACTGAACTGCTTGTGTTCACTTGGGTATGGCTATTTACTTCCACAGCCTCAAGATCAGATTCAGAGACCATTAAAAGTAAATTTCCTTTATCACTGAATTTGGATTAGGATCTTGAAAGAAGAAAGAACTGTGGGATTTCCAAAATTTGCAGTGAAAGCTGGCCTGGCCCCACAGTCGCTCTGGCCTCACCACAGCTAACTGGGACACAGAGAAGGACAGAAAGCAGCGCCAAGAAATCAGTGAGCTGCTGCCGACTGGGCTAAGTGAAAAACACTGACCTGGAGCTAGCCCCACTTTTGTGACAACACACCTCCTGATGAAGAGGTACATTGGCTTTTATATATATATTTATATATATATATATAGGACACAAAACTGAACTAGCATCCTTTATCCCAATTTACACTCCTCCAGAACACTCTCTGGGGGACTAAAAGGAAACAGGCAGTAGTTGTACGGAAGGGAAAAACTTGTCGAGTAATAGAGATGTTATTCTGCCTCTCTCTTTCCTCAATCAGTATTTCTGAGTCATCTCTGAGCACAAACGTTACATTCCGTAACAGACGGAGACTGTAATGAGCTCTGCCAATAAATGAGTATGTACTAAGAATTCCCTGACTCCCTGCTGCTGCAGAAACCAACGGGATTATGTGAACTATTTTCGTCTTCATTATGCTTTGTTCACTCTAATTATATTTCGAGAAATAACACATAGTTTGCACACCTTTGTTGCCTTGAGAGAGAATGGTTTAACAACATTGTGTTATTGAATACTGGCAGGAGAGAGAAACAGTTTGGGAACGCTAGGGAAGTGGCATTGATCATGCACATATCAAATGTGGTCCCCTCTGCGCTTCCTGGGCATTATTTTTTTTTTCAACGCATTCCTTAACTTCCTGGCCTCATGCTCTGATGTATGTCAGTCTGGAATGAGGCAAGTTTCTCCATTTGCATTCATGGGGACGAGTCTTACTGAGCCTCAGTGAATTCCATGTGTGGTGAATTGAGATACTCAGTAGCATCTCCTAAGCTGGGACTCAGAAAGAATAATAAGAAGAGGGCCAGTAGGGAAGGAGTCAACTTGTGTTACTGTGTGTTTGTTTCTTCTTGATGAGCCATATGAGAATGCTCACTCTGCATGAAAAACACAGGACYGATTCTTTGCTTCTACTAACTCTAAGTTATTTTGAGAGGTGTGAGACTCTTGCTGCAGAAAAGCATTTGGATTTACATCTAGAAAACAAGCAAACAAAATACCCTAAACCAAATTTGTGTCAATCTGTAGAAAGTAGGAAAACAACAACAAAAAATAACAGTCACTGTAGGAGTTTCTCCTTGCTAAAATATTATACCCAATAGCTTTTCAACTGAAAGCACTGGAGAGAAAGATGGAAGACTGGAAAATGAAAAAGCAGCTCCTAGAAGAGAGTTTTAAAAACCAGAGTTCTGTTTGTTATGGGAGTGCTTCATTTACCAGCTACCCCCAAAGTACAGCTGTTTCTTTCTTACTGTCTTAGATTTCAAAGCAAACTTTTCAAACCTCCTGTAGAAATTCAATTATCCCTAATTTTCATAAATTTAGGCTAGTATTTTTAAAATATATGTATATATTTATATTATATATATATTTATATGCCTATATATCTATCTAGCCTAGATAGATATATGCACAGATAATCTATGCACAGCAAGCCAAACATACAAAAAATAAATACTCTCACCCCTCTACTATATTTACAGAACAGATTTTATAATCCAGGTTTTGTTAATAAATATTTCTAAACTGCCTGTACAGAAKTTCTTTTACTTATGTTGATGGATAGCCACAAAGCATATTCAACATATTTACAAAGTCTCTATAAATATAGTCTTAAAATAAAGCAGTAGCTACTGAACCTTCAGCCTGGCTGGTTATGTACATTGAGTTAGTAGCTCAGCAGTTGCTTATTCACTATCACAAATGGGTAGTGCAACAAGTTAAAATGTGTATAAAAGATTATACATACAAAACTCTCACATCCTTTGGATGTTTGCAGTTCATTATAACTTTGTGGTTACCCTTCAGCAACATAAATAATAATTAAAAAGAAAAAAGCAAGTTCTATGATCCAAAGCAAATATTTTCAGTGCATTCTGTGCAGAGCAGCAGCTTCATCCTCAGGGCAACCCATCGTCTTCTAGGCTTAATGCYACACGCTGTGGAGGAAGAAAAGCGCATTCAAGGATAGATTCTATAACTTATGAATTTTGATGCATTAGAACCAAGTTATGATACTGTTGCTAACTTTATTCCTGATTTAAAAAAAAAAATCTTATTGCTGACCCTAGTGTAAAAGCGACAGAAATCCCTTTTATGCACTGATTTCCCTCCCCCTCCTCCCCAATGGGATTAACACAATCTTTCCAACACTTATTGCACATGTATGTTATACGGATAGATGAAGTTTGTTTCTTGTAGGGGATGACATCTTCTCCAAGATGATCCTTAGTAGGGTTTTCACATAATATAAGAAACTATCTAAAGTGCTTGCCCTTCTGCGGAAAATCTAGTGCCCTCATGAAGCTATGTGCTCTCTTCTCAAAATACACAGCAGCTACTGCTGCCAAATGCTTCCTCTCAGCAGGGCTACTTCCCTAGAGCCCAGGAAGCTTCCTGAGAGGCAGGCTGCTGCCTAGAACAGCTTCTCTTTACTGGTGCAGGCTCTGATGCGTACATGGGACTCGCTATCAGAATGGTTTTTTACTACTTGTAATGCTTCATCTTGTCAAGGCAACTTTCCTTAGCTCCTTACAGAATCTCATTCAGTCCTCCCTGTGGGGCCTCTGGCTCTTACTGGCACTGCTATATTATAACAGCAAGATGTCTTCTCCCAGGATTTTAGAAAAACCCAAGTTATCTTTAAAATAGTCGAGGAACTGGTAGCAATCTAAGCAAAGGAACATGGAGCCCAGTAGAGGATAAGAAACCACCTGTTACATATTGAGCTCTGGAGGGAGCAGCTAGCTTTACACTTGCTTATAGGTGTATTGATTAGGCTAGATATTCTTCACTCAATCTTGATCTTGTACTATATAGACCACTCTATAGACTACTGCAGGAAGTTTAGGCTTCTGCCCACTCAAAGATTGTTAAATAAATACTATTTTTTTTAAAATATATATTGCAAATAGCCAATGATGCAATCCACTCGAACTAATTATCTTGACTCTCAATAAAATTATTTCTCTTCAGCTGTTTCCTGAGTACTTACTGCTGGATAGACGTGTCCAATTTGGGCAGTCCGCCCAATATGGATTTCATCTTCATCTTCCTCTTCTGTTGTCTTCCTATACACTGGATTGTCAAAGTTCATGCTTTTAGTGTTCTTCCGTTTCCAGTTCCTCCAGATGAGGTATCCCCCCATGCACAGCAAGCCAATGACCACTGAGGAAGGAGGGAGAGAAAATGCTATTAACCAGCTATGGTAGGGCAAGAAGGAAGCTGAGGGAATATTCCCCGGTAGATGCCTGTGCTTGGACAGTTTTCTCAAAGCCAGATTACTGAGCMCCATTTCAGCAGTTTCTGCACTCCTTCCCCAGCTGGAAAAGCAGAAGARTATATTTACAATAACATTTCAGTATAATTCTCTTTAAAAAATGTATTTAAATCAGCTTACCAACAGGAATGACGATTCCAATAACAGCTGCTGTCACGGTTGAATCAAAGCCTTGACCGTTATTTGCATCTGTAATTACAGAAGTAGTTCAGATMATAAAAATCATCTGCATTTTATAACCATGGGTAAAGAATATTTAATATTAATAACTACATTGTTCTGCCCATTGGGAAATTTTGGTAATCAGAAAGTGTCTAGTAGAGCATTATCAGATAAAGAAACTCTAGCCATAAATGCATAAATGACTATGAGCAGCAGAGGTGCATAAAGATGATGTAATTTATTTTTTTCCCTTTGCATGAGAGGATAGTCATACATCTAACCTATGCAGAGCCTTGTTTTTAGGTCATATCTCTTACTAGTGCATAGATTTTTGTGATAACCTAAATCCAGAAAAAGTAAAGAGGATTCTCTTACAGTGCTGTGATAAATTGCTGTTTCCAGTAGTCATCTCAGAGTCTATTAGGATGGATGTGGTTAGAGGTAAATGAAAACTTGGGATTGTAATAGCAGCTTCTGATGTAGTTTTGGGGACAATTTCCGTGGTGTTTGTGGTCTTGCCAAACGCAGTTGTGATGGCCATGGTGGAAGTAGTGGCAGTATGAGATGCTGTGGCTGTAGAAACCAGTAGGGTAGCTGAAGTAGTTGGAAGTTCTGAAAAGCAAGAACAATCATGAAATCTAGTTAAAAGTAAATAYACAAAGCAAATCACAAATGATAATATAAATCTAAAGAGAACTGAATGGGTCAGAAACAGAGACCAAATTCCAACTCTGTTTGCCAAGCGTTCAGGCTACCTATAGGTCTCTACCTACATCTATAGAAATTATTTTCCAGGCTCAGTCTTAAATTATTAATAGTTAAAAAGTGCTCTGAATGGAAGATAGTTAACMTTACCATTTTTGAACAAGTACTGAATTTGTACCTGAGACCTGTTTGCAYGTTAGAAAAAATTATCTTGGAAACACTAGTCCATTCAAGATATTATCAGCAGTGACTGTGACCTCTCGAGATCCAATATCTATACAGTACTAAGGTGGCAAATTTTCATGGTTTATTGAACATTCACATTTTCAGTGTTGGGTCTCATCTCTTTTTTCCTCTTTATGCTGCATCTTTTTCTGGCTAGGCTTTCCAGAATACTTAAGTTTTCAATAAAGATGTCCATGCTGTTGTGTTCAGAAGCCAGAAAGCATGTGGGTACATAAGCTAACATATATTTTCACTGATGGTGTAAATATGGCTTTGTTGGAATGGTGCAACACTGACGTGATTATATTTACCTTTGTAGCATTTTTTCATGTCAGGACCCAGCCACATGTTGTCAGGACAGGCACATGTATACTTGGGAGAATGAGGAGAGATCTGAGGTGCAGGCAGACACAAATACTCACAGCCTCCATTTGGTTGAGGGCTGAGCTCACAGGAATCAGGAGCTGTTCAAGAATGGCAGAAAAGACAAGTTATTTTTCTAATTTGCTGTTGTTTTTGGCAAAGAAATCTCAGCTTCTTTAAGAACTCTTTCTTCTACTTCCTACCTCAACTAATCTGTCTGCTTAAACATCTTTACAGCTTGAAGTAGGGTGAAACCTAACAGACTTCCTTTAAAAACAGTGAAGAGATTAGCAGATACAAGTTTAAATGGCCTTGTGGGGCTCCATTTGCCTTTTTCATCAATGTACTCATTTACAAGCTAATGGTCCAAATACAGCACAATAAAGATAATATTTGAATGACTTGTCGATGACCATTAATAATAATTTAGAACATTCACAGACTGCTGATGCTGCTGAACCAGGAGAGCATCTTTCATCCAGCTGTACATTCCCTCACAATTAACAGCAGCTAGAGACAATTTTTTTAAATGAATTTCTCATGATGAATTTCATAGGGGGAGCCAATTTCTCGGTCAAGATATCTACTGTTCTAGGCATTTTCTTCAGGCAGTCTCTCAAAATTCCCTCTGCTGCATCAGGAGATATAGCTACAGCATGTGTTGTCTGATGTGCAGTCTTTATTTTTAAAAGTTCAGGTAACAAATGCCACGAAAATGTCATGGCTGGGGCTTCGGGACTGGCCGTTGGATCCCAGAGGGAACCAGGAAGCTTTCCCAGGTTGCTACGCTGAAGTCTGGGCCACTTCATTTTCGCTGCTATTGCTGCTGAGGCTGGGAGGTGAGTGCTTACCTTGCTGTAATTATGCTTCCAGATTGCAATACAGCCCAAATGTATAATGAATGGCAAGCATCAGAGAGATGAGAGAAACTCCCTGTTATCAGAGACGCTAATTAAACAGCTATTAACCAATTGGTTACTTTTCAATAAATGCTGCTGCTGAATTAATTATGCAGGAACTTCAAACAKCAGGCATTGATTTCACATTATTACCTGTGCTTTTTCTCTCATCAGGAAGCACTGCATTTACTGAATCAAGTAACTGTGATTTAGAGACATGAGACCCTAAGGACATATCTTACCTTTGGGCTGCTTTAATTCGTGAAATACCACAATATCATGAGGATTATTGAGATTTTCTGCTAAAATGGAGATGTCCAAGCCATTCAGCCTATTTGCACTGAAGATTGCTTCATTCTCCAGGTCAGTCCAGAACACTCTGTCCTGCGAGGAAATTTATAGGATTTCTGATGTGACTGCACTTCAGTTCAAGATGGATTAAACTCTAGCGTTCAGGAAGTCAATGCAGAACATTGCTTTATTCTGCTTCTGTCAGTAGCTTGCTTCCTTTTTTTTTTTTTGAACACTGTCATTTCTAATGTTTAGAAGTAGAGCAATCCTAGCTCAGTAATTCTGAGTAGTTATGGGACTGAGAAAATATATGAGTTGCGTCCATCCTGTTTCCAAACATTTTTTTTTTTTTTTTTAATAGACAAGACAAGGAAGAAAGATCATGGACAGAATCAAAGGGATTTGCTAGAAACTTTGCTGATTGTTTTCTGCTTTCCAGAGATATGAGCTGGATTAAACAGGTATCTATGAAGATGCCAGTGCCGAGAGCTCACCTGGAAGATTGTTATCTATTTCTACCTGGCCATTCTGACAAAGAGGATAAATAACACAAGGTCCTGCCCAACATTACTAATGTAGGATAAAACTAAAATGCAGCAGTGTCTTGTGCAAGGCAGGGCCAAAGTAGATGTCTAGATATCATATATATTGTGTGGGAGGAAGTCAGGATTTTAAGGAAGAGGTTTGATGAGCCAAAAGCCAACTTAGTTAAGTGAAATAAAGAGAAAGGAAAGGAGGCTGTGATGCACATCTTGACAGCGAGCTAGCTCAGATTGATTCCTCTGCTATAGTTTACCTAGACAGAGGTGCCAAAGGTCAAACTTTTGTTCCCATAATCATTTAGATATACACAGGAAAGTACTTCTCCTTTTCTACAGGAGCGATCAGACTGCATTGCTCCAAGCACTCCGCTGTAGGTAACCCTCTACTGGCATGGGGAAGGGTTGGATGTCTCTCTGCTTCCACCCAGGTAAAGCTGGAATTTGATTTAGGTCTCTCACACCCTGGAGAACTCCAGAGACAGGAGGGGGGACATGCAGTTTTGAACACATGCTATAGATCTTAAGCATGAGATACATATTTTAAGGAGGTCATTAGAGCTAAGCACTGGCACTGCACAGCTTTGTCTAAACCTCACACAAAAATGTGGACACCTGCTCAGGTGGTGATTTATACTGATGTCAGCAGGTTCTATTTTGTCAYAGGTGACTTTTGAGGATCTGAACTGTATTTAATTGATTATGGCATTGCTCTTAGGTTACAGTGTGACACCGAATGGTACAGAACACAGACTATACCAAATCTACAAGAGTAATTGAGCTTTCAGTGTACTCAATTAGGCGTTAGAAGGTCTTTGTGAAATCAGGCTTGTGTGTTTGTAGAATCCGAGCTGTAACTTTGGGAAAGACAAGTTTCTCTGACATGTAGCAAGGCACAGGTCATCATTCTCTTTCAGGTWAAGCTACTCCAGTTACCTAACTCTTTAAACTAGGTAAACCAGTAACACCTTTTTTAGTACCATGTCCCCACTTTCAGCAATGCAGTGGTGCACAGTGACTGCAGAGGGAGCCCTGCGAGTGCCTTCTGGTGCAGATACTCCCAGCTGAAGCCTGCACACCCCTGAGACTGCTAGAAGCATTCCCAGGATCCCTGTGCAGATGCTGCAGTGGTCACAGGGACAACAGGAACAATCAGCCTGCAAGGCCAGCGAAGGAAGATTTAACAGGCCTCCCCTGAGGATTCCCTTGACCCCATAAAATGGGACAGCTGTGCAAACAGGGTGTGAAACAAAGCTCTGAGAGCAGCAAAARGCTGAGGCTGCTGTGGGTCATGCAGCTCCCCTCAAAATCTGATTTCTTAAAAGCCAGGGCCTTTTGCAGAGTCAGTGAGTGAACAGCTGTCCCACCTGCTCATCACAGTAAGTGGCTTCTTTCCCTTACCACCAGTTTTGGTCTTTGCATGGTCAGTTGATTTGATTCAAATCAAGGGAAGCCCATTAGAGTTTTTCAGTTATGTGGGAGGTTACAGGGGGCAGCATCTGCCCTCGCCAATCCACTRGGACTGCATTAGTAGCATGAGCTGCAGCACTGCTCCTACAAGGGCTCCGGAAAATGATTTTTCCTGCTGAACCCACACCACGTTAATCGGTTTCTATAGCAGCAACTGCCCTTGACAAGATTTCTGTACTATGCAAAAGGCAGAGCTTTGTATCAAGAAGAGCTCTGAGACTTCTTGCAGTCTCCAGCCTGTCCTGCATCCATTCTTGACTCTTACCTCAAACACTGCTAATCCAAAAGGATGGCTCAGATCATCAACAGAGGAGATCAGAACTTTTCTGTTGCTGCCATTGAAATCAATGCAGGACAGTGAATGCAATTTGGAGTCTACCCAGTAGAGACGCTGATTCAGCAAATCTGCAAGTAAAACACAATGAAACAAAATTACACACAGCTACGGCTACTCTTTTCTCTTGCCCAGCATGTTTTTCCTGCTGGCAGCATGACTAATCTCTTTATTATTGGGCCTTTTTTTTCTTTTTTTCTTTTTTTTTTTTAGCATTAGTTCTGATTTTGATTCGGTGCCCAGATATGCTGGCATAAGACCCTATAAATCAGATTAAAAAGGAGGAACATTGCAGGGTGTGTTTGGGGGGACTGCCTGACTGGCATTCCTGCACAATGAGGCTCTTTGGTTCCCTGGAGGAGCAGGCCAGCCGCAGGGTGGGCTTCCCAGATCGCTCTATCAATGCCCCACATAGAGGGAGAAGCTTCATCACCCTTGGGGCTATTCACCCCTTGGCTTCTTGCTGGAGAACAACTGGGATTTAAATGAAACAACTCTCCAAAGAAGCTGAGATTGACACATTTTCAGTGATGAGGACTCCTGGGCTCCAGAAGCCCTTCCTATACTGCTGGCCAGGGAAATACAGGTACTGGGGACATAGACAAACCATCCAGATTTTGGGGAGGGTACAGATAAAAGGAGGAAGGTGGAGTTCAAGCTTACTTAGAATACTATGAACAGAGTTTCTTTCCTGGAGCAAACTCATTTTGGATGAGATTCATTAAACAGGATGCAAGTGGATGAGTGCCAAAATTCCAGAAATTCATATAATGAAACAAGCCATTAATTAACTTCTTAATTACTGAAGGATAACATTATTAGTTTGCAACAGTAGCTGTTTGACACTGTGTTACAGTAGCAGCATTTCTTTGCCATCTTTGTTAGGGCCAGCATTTTGTAGTATATCGCTGAGCATCTGAACCGTGTCAAGAACAGGCATGGCTGTTACTGCAGCTAGGTAGTCCCTGACTGTCCTGTGGGTGCAAGGAAAGGCCCTTCGCCCTCCTGTGACTCTCTGTGGTGGGAAAGGACCACAGCCTTCCGTATGCCAGCAGGATGGGGTACAGGCAGAGGGGGTTTCTGTCTGTGCCGCCATCCCACGCGGCTGGATGAGGAACAAGCTCCACAAGCTTGGTCTCTGCTTGATGGACTGTGCATTGGTCCAAAGCAGCTGCCTCCCACACAGCTCCAGAGATGCTARTACCAGTGATCTTGTGACACCTCCCAGACTTCCAAAGGCTGTTGTTGCAGTTCTGCATCTTCCTTAAAGCCAGCACTCCCCTTTAATACCCACCTAAAGCAACTTAAAATGCTTGCAGTGTGACATTAGAAGTGGCCACACCTACAGCCCAACCCCATGTTTGCTGCTGCATCTAACTCACTCATGTCACTGAGCAGTCAGTGACAGGGTATTCCTGGATTTGTGAGTGCAGCTGCCTTTGCACCAGTTAGAGTTTTTCTGTGCAACAAAAAACTAAAATGACAACAGCCACAAATGGATTCTGTAGCTGCAGCCCCGGTACTTACCAAGAGTGATGCCATTAGGCCACTCAATGTTGTCAGCCACCAGCACTTGCCGCCCCACACCATTCAGGCCTGCTTTCTCAATCCTAGCTTTGTCACCCCAGTCAGACCAATACATGAACCTGAAAGAGCCAGACACACAAAATCAGACCGAAGATTAAGAAATCTGTGTTACTGAACTGATCGGGAGGCTGAGTGCCCTCTTCTTGATACTGCAAAGCTCCTCGGCCACTGCAGTTTGTTCTGACATGTGCCTAGTGAGGCCCCCATGCCCCTGACAGATAAACTGCCCAAGGACTGCTCTGCCACAAACCCTGCACCTCGGTGAGATTATCCACCCAGACAGCAGATGTTCCTGTCAGACTGCTAGAGTCCCCAACATAACCTGTGTGCCTGGAGCAACTCAGGCCCATCTGACTTGTGACCTGCATTATTTTCAGGATTTTTTTTTTAACTGCAGAGGCCTCACAAAGATATACTTGAAGTACTTCAGCAGTCCTGCTTTAATGAATCTAATCATTTAATTAAGATAAGGGCATCTGTAAGCCTTAATGAGATAAGAACCATCTTTGAGTCTTTTAAGAGAGGCAGAAGAGGACTGGGATGTCCCCATTGGACGAGGGAGTGTTTGGGCTTTTCATGCCTACCTGCGCGTGGGGTCCACAGCAATGGCTCGTGGCTCGCTGAGGTCACTGTTGAAAAGCGTCCTCCTCCGGCTCCCATCTGCAGTGGCGACCGAGATGGTCTTGTTTCCTGAATCCGTCCAGTAGATGTTCTTGTGAACCCAGTCTATTGCGAGTCCCTCTGGGGAGTTCAGCTGGCTGTCTATCAAAACCACCTGCTCCGCTGTGTCGCTTGCTTTGTCTATGTAGGCACTGCAAAGGCAAGACCTGTCACTGGCCTGACACAAGGCCCAGAGAGGTGCACAGGGACAGAACTCAGAGCAGATGAATCATAGGCACAACCATGAAAGAAGGTGCATATGTGGCAGCATGATGAACACAATGACCTTCATGGCTGCCTGTTGGCGTTTTTCCACTGCTTTCTCCTACAATTCCTTTATATTTCCTTCTATTTGGATGGCATAGATTTGCAGGGCAAGGAACTGATATTTTAATTTCTATTTTCTGCTGTAACTGCATAATTCAGCAAAACTTTTAACTTAGGACACCTGATTTCAACACTGTCAATTCCATGGATTTATTAGAAGTATAATCTGAGCTCTGCTGAATGGAGTTGAATTTAACATGCAAACATGTGTTTAAATGAATTGCAGAGTTAGGACCTGTGTAATTAATTTTGATTTAGCAAAGGAACTCATGGAACTGTAATGATTTAGCATTTGCTCTTTTATTAGATACAAAGAAACTATACACCAGCATCAGTGGCAGCCTCAAGAAGCTTTCAAAATGCTAATGAAAGGCAGCAAACTCCACATGCATGTGCCATAAATAACTCTGCACTGCTCCTACAAGCAAATAGRCTGATTCTACTCTATTACACCTGCACCAGTATCAGTTACTTTCAGTRGACTGAAATGGAGTTATTCTGAGTCTGCATCCATGGTTCTAAGAGCTTAGTCTGGCTGAACCACGCCTTTGAGAAGGTACCAAAACCCGTGTCCTCCCTCAGCCCTTACCTGTAGATTTTTCGGTAGAACAGATCACACCAATATATTCTGTTTGTTGCCACCTCCACRTCCAGGGCCACTACATTTTTGAGCATGGGAATGATCCGTGAGTAGTCCCTTTTCACCAGGTCTATCTTACGGACTTCATGGCGATTGGTGAAGATCAGGTATGGACTCTTGCCTATTGCAGAAAATAAATGCATTTGTCATTTTAGCAGCTGATGGGAGGACTCTCAGCTCTCAGTCTGACTGTTCTGCTAATAACCACAAGCAAAACTATAGGAAATACCCTATATTGAAGAGTATATATATACCCTAATTGAAGGTGACTTCAATTACATGTTTCAGACAAAATAAAGGAGCCATTTTTGGTGGCTCGTGTCCAGACAAGGAAGACTCAGCCCTYTGGGCTGCCTGGAGGTAAGACAGTGTCACACCTTACAGGGTGCGACACTAGTTTGTCTCGAATAAGTCAAACTTACTTGCAGAAGACTATCCTTTCACTGGGAGGGACAAAAGGGAACTGAGACACCCACAGTTTCCTTTAAACAAACCACCACCATGGCTAACAGTTAATCTTGCACTGTTTAATTTTCTACCCTTCTGATGCAAACATAATTTTTTTGCAATAAGCTAACCAAACCTCTGGTGTTCATGTTGGTATCATACATGTGGCTGGGGTGGGGGAGAGGTGACTAATCCACCACATTTTAATTGGGTTGTTTTGGCTTTTTAACACTACTACTGCTAAATGTTTTTGCTGTGCTGTTTATTAAAAACAACTGTCAAGAGACTCTCTTTTCTAGTTTCAGCTTCAAACAGCCAAATAGTGACTGCAGTCTTGCTCTGCACAGTTAAAATATTCTGATCTGCATGATCAGTAGTTCTTGCCTAGAGACGCATCTGCTGTCTCTGCAGCAGTTCTGTGCTGCCTGAAATGTATGTCTGTACTTGCTGCCTTCCTTTCGTCTCCCCTCCGCCAGCCTCAGTCCTGCAAGCTCGTCATCTTATCAGAGCTGTGATGCTGAGCAAGCAGCTTAAGGGCCCATGGAGCTGTCTTACCTACAGCTTTGCAGTTCTTGGACAGGGTGTCCATCTCATATCCCTCGTAGCACTCACATTTGTAGTCCCCTTTGTAATTAATGCAGATCTGGCTACAGGCGTCTGGATTCTCACATTCATCTATGTCTGAAAGGAGTGTTTGAAACCCATCAATAACTTGAAATCAAACCATCTGGGATGGAGCAATGCTGGAGTGACTAGAATCACGTCTCTGTATGGCAAAACACAGGGAACTGGTGTTTGCATGTAAATTACCTCCACACGTTTTTTTATCCAGAAGCTTGTAGCCGGGAGGGCACTCACATTCATAACCAATCTTCAAGTCTTTACATATGTGTGAGCAACCACCGTTGTTCATAGAGCATTCATTCATACCTGGAAGAGGTATACAGATTATCTGTTAAAAAAGAGGGCTTTTAATCAGAAGGCTGATTAAAATTATGAGAGGTTGAGATCCTCAGAAAATTTCCCAAAGCTTTTCAGCTTTTGGTGGCCAGGACCTGGCCACATAGAGGATACAAGTGACTTCACAGTTAGGAGGCCACCATATCTCTTGCTTCCTTTTTTTTTTTTTTTTTCCCCTTAAATATTGTAGGATCATCTAGACTAAAAGCTAGTGGCTAAGTGAGCAGGGGAGCCCTGGGGATGTCGCTTATGTAAATCCCCATCTCAGCCYATCTGAGGGCTGCTGCTTCAAATACGTTCAGCCAGATGTGAGGGGCTTTCAAGGGACCGAAGGGCTCTCTCCAGGAAGCTCCTCTTTCCCCGTGCCTTGTTCGTGTTGACTTTTCTGAACAGTCTCCTTGAGCTTTAATAATGCATGCGTGGGGAGTCCTGTTTCCCAGGGGTCCCTGCTCTGAAACACTGCGCTACTTTCCCAGCTAGCTCCAAGGAATGATACACGTGACAATTCTTGAAACCACCGAAGTACAGTCCATGAGAGACACTACCTTTACAAGGTACAGAGGCTTCCCACAACACCACACACACGACAGTCTGCAGCCTGTACCAGCCTGACAGTTACAGCTCCCACCTTATCCCAAGTCCCTGTCAGATCCAAGGCTGCCTCTCTCATCCCCCTGAAATGAAGAACAGTCTAAACCGATCATTGTAACTACAACTGAATGAGAAGCTGAGGAAGGCTGGCACGAGAGGTTGTTATTTCTGTCGGACATAACATTTCTTGTCAGAGTTAACCTACCCAGGGTGAGAAGTTCTTCCCCTTAAGAAGGACTGCTGAATAGAAGCTGTGGGATTTCAGGGGCTCACTGCAACAAGCAAAACTGATTTGCTTCAAACCTTAATGCAATTTAAAGCCAAATTTTTCATTTGCTTTTACTTCTTGCCTCCTTGCACACTGCAGGTGAGCAGTACAGCAGAGCCATTAAACTCATGTTCTTGAAAGAAAATGAAAACAACCACAAGCCAATTAAAGTCAGTAAGACCAGGAAAATATTGTGCCAGGAGAAAACACTGTCTCATCTCTGGGATGCTTTCCCCTTCCTGTCAAAGACACACTGACACGGGTAGCAATACGTTATTAATGGAGCAAGCGCACGGGAAACTGTCCACAGAGTCACACGGGGTGTTGCCACTCCTCAGTGSTATTATTAATGGATATCACCTATTGCTATGCTTGCACAGGCTTCCAGCAAATGGGGTCAAAACTCACGTACCCACATGCTGCAAAATATTGCCAGAGACTGCTTCAGCTGATGAGCGAAGAGCTCGAGCTCAGAGGATGCCCCTGCGTTCAGAGGTGCTTTGTGGATGCACCTGGCGAGAGCGAATCGAGCACCTGGCAATGCTGCTCTGCGGGCTGCACTGCATGAGGCCAGGCGCAGCGCACGGCTGCAGCCCCTCACCCTGGCGTCCACGCTGCGCCCAGCACACACCTCGGCCCACAGCCACTGCCTGCCTTCTGCAGGGACATTACGGGGCATCTCAGAGGACACCACAGGATCTCGCACACAGCCAGCCAGATATGCTGCCATGAGGAGCGTGTCCTGCAGCTCCCCGCTGCTCCCTCGCTGTTCTTCACATGCACAACAAAACACATCACTCTGCAGCCTTAAAGCCGTGTTTCTTTTAGCGACTGTTCTCCTTTCGGCTTCCTAAATCAATTGACACTCCACTGCCAGCAAGTCAGCCACAGCACCAGGGCCAAGTGTGCGGCTCCATCTCCCAAGAGCTGCGGGGCCGCCAGCTCCCACGAGGGAACCTCTACAGACAGAAAGCTACAGCACCCACTCAGAAACACAGGGACACGTGGGTTAGTGCAGAAGAAAGCAAGGGCGCACTGAAAGCACAAAGCAAGCGCGTCCTCCCGGGCCTGCACATGCTCTGGGGAGAGCCTAACAGCTCCTCCTGAACACAAGGAGCTATCCATAGGCAGGGACACTGTGCTTGATGCCGCTGGTGCTCCACAAAGGGATGGAGCACTGCCACTCACTGGGGTTTCACCTTCAAAGCCTATTCCCAGTGCTAAGTCATCCTGATGAGGTTTATCCTCATCTTCAATTCAGGGATAATTTAGGCAGTTCGGCTAAACAAACTGGTCAGGGCTGTAGGGGACACCAGTCCCTTTGGGAAGGGGGAATTCCTGGCTCCTTGTGCAGTGCTCAGCTCCAGTACCCTTCCAAGGGCAAGAAGGACATCCCTACAGTGAAAAGGGCCCGGTTCACACTTGCAGATAATCACCCAGCCACTAATTCTATTCACGCAGAGAGTGGTGGACTATGCGGTGAGAGCAAAGGCAAGAGAGGAGGAGCCGAGGGAGAAACAGCATTAGCAGCTACATGTGGTTACACTCAAAGCTGTGAGCRCCAGATGGAGGAGAGGGGAAGCAGTTACAACAGGAGCAACACGTAGAAGGCAAGTACTGTACCACATTCGTTCAGAGGCTCGTCAGACCAGTCCCTGCAGTCTCTATGGGAATCGCACACTTTGCCTCCGTCAATGCACTCTCCACTCTTACACTGAAACTTGCTGGGACTTTCACATGCTGACTCTGTCGTGTCGGGCAAGAGAGGAGAGCAACTAAGTTAGACGAGGCTGGTGACAGCAAAAAGCCTGACATTAAGCTTCAAGAGTATGTCATTAGCAGAAATGGGATGGGATGGGATCAAGCAAATGAACATTAAGCCTGAATATCATGCAAGGAACTTCTTAAGACGTGCAACGTGCCTGGCCAGCGCGCTCATCTCTCCCAAGTGYCACCGCCAGGACAGCTGAAACCTCTGCAGGCAGCAGCTCTCCTGCACCAGGCGGGCGGAGGGCCCCTGCCCTCCCGCGGCCCGGCCTGCCCGCGCGGCCCGTCCCTACCTTGCACGCAGCCGGCCTCGTCGCTGTTGTCGGGACAGTCGTGCACCTTGTCGCACTGCTTCACTCCGTGGATGCAGGTCCCGTCCCCGCACTGGAACTCGTCCGGCCGGCAGGTCACCAGAGCTGGAGAGGGACAACAGCGTTTGGTGTCAGCCACGCGCACTGACACCTTTCAGCCACATGCAGCCAGCATGGCAGGGATGGCCTCACGCCACCCAGATCATGAGCAAACGGGCTCCTTACATGGCTTGTTTTCGAGGGTTTGTCTTCACACAAAGACAAACATAGCGTTCACAAGAGAAAGGTTTGGAAATAGCACTGCTCCTTGGAGAGGGAAGCCACACACACAGAGAATCTCACAGAAACACACTGCTCATAAAAATCTGCAAAGCCAGGAAAGGTCCCAGGCAACTAGCACAGTTAYGGGCTGGGTTGTGCCGCCATGTTTCAGCTAATAATCCCAGGTACACGGATAGGAAACCTTAGCGGACCCCTTGGGACAGCAGCTCCAAACCATGCAGGTGGGAATTTGGATGATTAAACACAGGGGTATCTAGAACCACAGCCTGGACAGCGGCTCTGCGAGGCCACACAGAGAGGCCAGCGCCACCCAGGCCATCCTGCACCAAGCTACACCTGAGACACTCCAAAGCCTGCCCTACAATTCCCTTGCTGCGGTTAYTTCTTATCCTCCTGGCATGAAAAATATTTTATTTTCCCCTTTTGGTAGCAACTTGTAAACACGGAAACAGCGAGGGATCCTCCCCCGTTTCTGGCATGGGAGCAGGTCTGGAGTTTATCATACAAATCTGCATGACACTGGCTACAGATCTGGAAGGCAGCTGCTATAAATCCCAGTGGCTGTGAAGAGTTGCAGCCTCCAAAGTTCTTCTAGGAAGTGTTTTTTTAGCTAAATGTTAGGAAAAGAAAGATGATTTCAAGTCTAAAGCTACAAAAAGGAAGAGGCAACTGCAAACACAACATTGCAGAGTTGCATCAGGGGAATATTCGCAGTTTCACAGCTGTCTCTGCAGTTCCATGAGCAAATACGAAACAATTTACTAAACCCTGGTAAATTAACCAGTATGCTAAAACAGATACACTTCCCATCTGCAAATACTGGGGATAAAGGTTAACTGCTTAAATTTAGCCTATATATTCCAGATTTAAAAGTTTATTCCTGTGTTTTTTCTGTCTGCATGTCCAGAATGACACAGGGAGATTCGTATCACACCAAGCTCATTTGAAATAACTCACTGAAGCTTTGTGGCGATTTTCACGTGAAAATCTTCAAGTGCTTTCCAAGTACTAACTTAATATCAAGAAAAGCCCAGCGTTTGCAAGATGCATCAATCCTCTTTTACAGATGGGGAGGCACAGAAGTGCAAGGCCAGGTCTCAGGAGATCTGTTTTCTAGTTGCAGCCACTGTTGAATTTCTCCCTGGATGCCCTAACCTGAATTCTTAGAGGACACTTTTAAAAATAACCATTCCAAATTTGAAGACTAGTAAATCTAACTCAAYATTCATTTTATATACATTTTATATATTTAAATATATACTTGGGGGGAAAAAACAGCCACCCATTCTCACACAGCTTCCTCAAAATGACTCATTCCCTCCTATTTATTTGCAGTCTTGCTGCCTGTTTACTGACTGACACCCTTCATTCCCACTTCACTCATCAGCCCAAAGCCATTAAAGCGAATGACTGATGGTGGCCCCACAGCACTTTTAGCTCCCATCCCTCCATTTATGCAACGTAAAATCCAGAGCGCCCCTCTTGCAGGAGAGGAGGTGCTGCTGCCTCTTCCATCCCCGCGCGGCCGCCCGCGGCCCCGCTGGCCTGGAGCTTTGCACCGGGTACCCCTTCTTGCTGGGACCACCAGCCTGCACGCGGTGCCATCATGGGCATGGAAAGGCACTGCTGGTCAAAGTAGGATATTTTCTTATGTACTTTTGTAAAAATACCTGGCTTGTGCAGCTGGGTGCTGCCTTCCTTCCCAGAGGTGGCCCAATGTCAGGATTGCTAAATATATACAGCTATGTAAATATTTTATTTTAATCTTGTGATTATGCATATTTTAACAAAACATTTTGCTCTTATTTTCTTGTCTCTCCTTCCCCAGATAAGTGACCGGYTTGAACAGTTAAGGGGCTAAAAATGGCTGGAACATTCAAAAATACCATGCACACAGCAACACCATGTTAAATGCATAAAGTTAGCTGAAAAGAAATGCATTATTTATCAGCTCGGTGCCTTTAACAAGCCACACTCAAAGTGCATTTCAGACTGGATTCTTCAGTGSTGCTGTTCTTGCCTGTCTTATTCAGTATGCTCTAACTTCACAGGCAGAAAATTATTTTTTTTTCCTGTGGATCCTATATTCCCTCTAGCATTGTGGCTTCTAACCTCAAGGCCACGCAGCCAGAGGACTTGGAAAACGTTCCCCACTTTCTGTTGCTTTCCTTTCTGGGGAAATGGATCTGCTCTGCAGCACATTACCACCTAGCAGCTGTTGCAGCTCCCGCCAAATTGTCAGGAAAAGGCGGAAAGGAGCGTGCCATAAACCTGACCCTGCTGGCTGGGCACCCAGCTGTGCCATGGGGGGCACAAGGACTCCTTGCTGGGCACCCAGCCGCTGCACAGACACCTCACAGACACCTCACATCAGAGATGTGCCTTAAAGCAGTGCACGTGGGGGCCGTCTGGCCACCCTGCCCGCAGGGAGACACTCACGGCAGTCCTGCTCGTCGGACTTGTCCTTGCAGTCCTCGTCCCCATCGCACTTCCAGTTGAGGTGGATGCACTCGCCGTTGCCGCACTGGAACTCGTGGGCCGCGCAGGTGTTGAGGGCCTTGGCGTCGTAGCCGCACTTCTCCACCGCCTCGTCCGACTGGTCCTCGCAGTCCGGCTGGTTGTCGCACACCCACAGCTCCGGGATGCACAYGCTGTTGTTGCACTGGAACTCGTTGGGGTTGCACGTCAGAGGGGAGCATTTGCGCTCGTCGCTGCCGTCCCCGCAGTCGTTGTCCCCGTCGCACACGAAGATGACAGAGATGCACGTCCTGTTGCTGCACTGGAACTCATTGGGGGAACAYGCTGGGGACGGAGAGCAGAGCAAAGCAGTGAGCTGCGATGTCCCCAACCTGCCAATCCAAGTTGGGGAGTGGGCCGGGGTGGAAGACATCTCAAGCCCAAACACTTTGCAAAGAGCAGGTGAAGATGCCACTGTCACCTCCCTCCCGGGGCGGCGGGAGGCTGCTGAACCAGTCACCAGCACCGGCAAAGGTCGGAGACCAGGGCGGTGTCCCCAGCGCAGGCAGCCGGGACGGGACAGGGCAGCGGGACCGCCAGGGCTGACACGACCGGCTCCCACCTTTCACGAGCACGGAACCAGCTTCCAGATTTCCCAGTGCGCTTGGGTTTGGACCAGTATTAAGTGGGATGTGTAGGAAAATATCTGTGAGTCGAGCATCAGTTTAGCTGCAATCTGCCAGTGAGGCCCTTTACATCACRCTGAGTGTGTTCCCGGGAAGCTGCTGCTCGGCATCCGCATGCCAAAGGAGGCAGCTGCCGCCTACCGTTGGATAAGGACTGTCCCTTGGAGGGTCTAACCTTTCTCCTCTCTGAAGAGGAGACCCATTAGGGGGTTAATCCCTCTCCTAAGGGCCTGGAGTAGCAGCACAGTCAAGCAGAGAAGCGCAGTAAAAAAAATTGTAGAGCAGAATTGAGACCAAGAAAATGAAGACAGTCCCAGTTTGCACCCAATTTGCCCTATTTTTCTTAATTGTGAAAGCCTTTCAATCCACATCCTGTAACTAGAAGTAAAATGATCTAATAATCCTACAGATCAGTAGACACTTGTATGAACTAACGATCTCAATGAACGCTAAGGGACTGTCAAGGGGAAAGTTAACACTTATAATCTTACCAATTAATTCAAAAAAATAAAACGAGAAATGGCAATTTTGCAAGGGCTATGTACAGTTTCTGTAACCAATTAAGACTGAGAGAAGAAATTGCTTTTCTGGCATTATTTTGATGAATCTCAGAAACAGATCAGGAGAAAAATTTTGCACGGACTTTGATCCCTAATCTTTGGACAAGTCTGCAGTGATTTGCACACTGTAAATGTGCATTAATTTCCTAAAGGTCGAGCTATTTAGGTCTCTGCTGCCTGGTCTGGGCTGGTTTGAAGGACAGTAACAAAAAGCAGCATTACTCAGTATTTTACATTGCTGTTGGAGGGACGGGGACAGAGATCTAAAGTCCCAGGGACTACTTACCTTGCATCAATCTATCAGGGTAGGGAGGCAGTCCCATTGCTGCAGCACTGCCTCCCACGTATTGAGACAGAAAAGCTTTGAACAGTGTCTAAATGATCACGGGGGTATTTTTTTCTGGCCTTGAACAATTTCCTTGCATTCTTGCATTTTGCTGTCTGTCCTGTCGTAAGCTTCTTCTCAGAAAACAAAGGAAACTAATATTAGCTTGGTTTTCTCAGTGCCAGAGAAATTACATGTGTGGAGCTCTCAGGTGCAGAAAGTACTTCAGATCTGAAGTGATCCCAATGGAAATCTTGGGAGTGTTTGTCAAGAAGTGTTTAACCAACAGGCTTCAAAGCAGTAAATAAGCATAATTACAAAAGCTCTTCTGCAGAGCACTGTAAGCCATTAAGATTTTTTGCATTTTTAGGGAGCAAAACATCAAACCGAAATGGCAGCGTATGTAAGCTCTGGCCTAGAGATAACATTTGCCAGAGGTGCTTTGCATTAATTTCTGCCTTGTTCTACCTAATGTTGTACCTAATGTAGCACAATTATTGCCTTGCAGCCTCCGCTTGCAATCATGTCCCATCCCTTGAGGAGAGAGGTGCGGAAGCCGCCTTCGGACACAGTGAGTAAAGGAAAAGGAGACACTGGAGCCATGGGCTTGGTGTATAAGTGATGGGACATTTTTGCCCTGAGTCAGGATTCAGCCTACATCTTTACTGAGTCGGCTGGTGCAGCAGGGACCACTTCAGCACCAACACCAGAAAATAAAGGTAACTTCATCACATGCTTGCCATAAAGACACAGTGAGGCCCAAGAACTGCAACTGCCCCCTTGTCCTGACACTAGCATCTAACTATTTTTAGAAGTGGCATCTCTGCAAATCAGGGATCTTCGAACCTGTCTAACCCCTGAGAAGTGGAGCAAACTGGACAGCCATCATCACCAAGAGCGGGGCACGATGTACAAGGGGCAAGCATTAGGCTGCTTCCTCTGCCAATCTTAATTAAGACCTAGCTTTTCAGTCAGAGTCAGTTAATTTGTCTTTTTTCCTCCCCAAAAAAAGCCAATTACCCGAGTKGCTTATGGAAAGATAATTATTATAGAAAGATATTATAAAAAGACCACCTGGTTGTAATGGCAGTTACTGATGCTGAAGAGATGAAAATAAGGTAAATTATTACACTGTACAGTTTCCTGACAACCCCTAAAGCAACTCAAAGGAACCCAGCTCAAACGTCCTGCTTCCCTCACTCTGCTGCCGGATTTCTGAAGGAACGCGAGGGCCAGGCACGGCGCCAAGCCTGCTGTCATGCAGCGCTGCTGGCAGCCGGGCACGGGGGGCGCGGGGAGCACCCCGAGCGGCGACACTCCCGCCAGCTCCCCCGGCCGGGCTGCAGCTGCACGTCGCCTCGCGGGCGGGCAGCGCGATGCCCGAACACCCGCGGCGCCGCCGTCCTGCCCGCCGCGGACAGCTGCCCACGGCAGAGCTGGAGCGCCGGCCGCCAGCACCCGGTGCCACGGGGAGCCAGACGGAGAGGCCCATCCAGACCCCCAGCGTGGAAGGAATTGTAATTCCTGATGCTGTTCAGGTCGCTGACGGGGTTAGGGAGCCGCCGCATGTGCACAGCAAATTAATAGTTACAGGCACTCGCCGCCCGCCTCGAACGTGAGGTATCTCTCCATCCTCTGCAGCAGTATTTGCATAGTATTAGTTAATTATAATGGAGCGACCAGATGCCAAAGCCCCTGCTGATAAATAACAGTTTCTGCAAAAATGTATTTGCCGATTTAGAATACATTTTGGAGAATCATGTATTCATTCAAAGTAGTTTAATTTTCTGAAGTACAATTAATTATAACCCCGCAATTTATGGAGAGGAGCAGCTTATGCATTAGAAGATATGGAAACTCTAAATATCCTCCCTGTCTTTCCCACTTAYGGGCAATAGGACCATGCTCTCAGATTCACAGTCTGCCCTGGCATAGTCCATACCGGAACAAATTCAGGGAGTTTCTCACAGGGTTTCTCCTCATTAAATCACTGAGAAGACATCAAAAGCAGAACAAGCGAGACCAGTGTAGAGGGTTTAAGGGTTAAAAAAAAAAACAGCTTAGGAGAAAAAAGGTGATGATCAGAGCACCGGGGATTGGTACCGCRCAGCCTTCTGCTCCAATCTCAGACACCCCACAGGGACCTCATGAGAGAAAGACCCATCTCTCCTCTTTTATATTCCAATCAGAATATAATCAGGTGAATCAAACTGGCGGCGTTTTGTACTAGACAGAGTTAAAATAGAAAAAAAAAAAAAAAAAAAGAGAACATGCTGGGATGCATTTAATGGGCTGCTTTAATCACCTGGATAACTGGAGCCTGCACGGGACATGGTYGCTCCCGCTCCCTCAGACACGGCTTGCTCAATGAAATCACCGTTTTCCAAAGGACACCCACGAGACAAGAGCCCCCGAAGCACCTGAGAGCATCCCCGGCGCCAGCAGCTGCTCCAGTGCCACCGCCCGAAGGAGACGGTTGTGCGGGAGGCACCGAGAGCACCCAGATCCCGCGAGCAGCCTCCTCACAGAGCACAACCGGCCGTGCACACAACCCTCCTCGTCAGATTTTATGRAAAAAAACAAATCTGCTTGCAAAACTGAGGCAAAATTAGCCCAACCATTATATTTTCCTCTGTTTGGAAACAGTGTGTTTTGGTCATGAACTTTTAGATATCTCTACCATCTTGCAAACAGTTTATTTTTTTAAACATCAAACACCTTGTGTAGGGATGCACCAAGCTGAAGTTTTCAAATCCTACCTTCATCATGCCTAACCGTTAAGCCCTGCTTAACAAATGCATATAGCACATGGTAGCACGTGCATCCACAGCCACCAAAGGGTGGAACCTGTCCTCACGTATCTGCCACTGCAACATAACTGTTGTCACTGCCACTTGAGGGGATTAATATAACTAAACATATTCCTRCTTTTGGGATGAAGAGGGTCAGAATTACAGCTGTGCCCTCACGCAGAAAGCATTTCAGGGACAGGCACTAAGAGCATATTTGGCTCTGTGAGAGCCTATTTCTGGGCTGTTTCAACTCCAAGAGCTCTAATCCACAACACAGCGACTGGCCAGAGAAGAGTTATTAACTAGTGGCCAAATTTTGCTGCTTTGGCAGCAGGACATGTAAGACGGGAAATAAGAACCAAAGACCAGAGGGAAACTCCATCCACAGAACACTGCCTGAGTCTACGCCTTGCTAGAYCTGAGCTGGAGAGGCAGGATTAGGGAAAACAGTCATTTTGCACTGACCTTCCCCAGGTGCAGAGCTCTGATGCAGCTTAGCCCACAGCTTTACAGCTTAATTCTTGACTTAGGCAATGCGTATCCTACCCCTAGCCTTGAATTAATGCAGTATTTTACATTTAATTACAACAAGCATCCAACAGATGAAAAATGAACCTACCTGCATTTTTACTGTAGGAGTGCAATTAAAGGTAGCCACCAAGCTTCTCGCTGTTAGGATGGATATGATTACACGGGCCACAATTTTTCCTAAATAACAATGGGGATTTTTCTGCAATTTCTACTGCTTTTGAAGGAGCTCTAATACTTTAAGCAGTGATAAAGTGGCAGCTGTACATGATGTTTAATTTCTGAGAGCCAGGGCATAATGCACAAGCATTAATCCCTCCAGCTGTCCAGTAATTAAACATCATGTAAAACCCAGAGGATATCATTGCTGTGCTACCTTATCTTATTTGTGAAGGACTTTCATTTGTTAAATCTATAGTCATTTTCCTTCTATTTGTGGGGATAATTGTAGATT